CGGTCTATGGGAGCAGTAACTGAGTCCTGGTATGCAGACTCTCCACACCTCGAATCTGGCTTGATAGCACCGATACTCTCAAGAAGTTGCATCACTGATAGGTGTACAATATGGGGTAAGCAACGGATGCGTGCTTTCTTGTGTGAGAAATCGATTCCTTCGGCAGCGCATCGGTTTTCAAGAGATTCGAGCAGGGTATCATTGTTTGTAGCATTATCACATACAACACCCATGATCTACAATATCAGAATGAGTGAATAAATCATGTAACATGCTGCTTTGTACCCGATCTTTGAGCCCATAAAGTTCAAGTGTATTCCAAACAGCTTCAGCAAGATTTACACCGCTGTGTTCACCAATAATTTCACGAAAATCGATCAAAAGCTCCTCTGGTTGAAATTGAGATGCTAGGTACACAAAATAATAGGACGAACATACCCAACTGCCAGTCATTAGTCACATAATGCATGACAATTGCAAGGAACGCAAATTGGTTGCTTGAGGTCTACGCATCGAGAGAAAGGCTTACTTTTGCCTCGAGTTCCTGTTAATATATGAGAAACGCGAATGCTTTTTTGAATGATTCAACCTACCCAAATCATGTTTTTGATTCCTTCAATAGTCTCATCACCCATCTTCATGATACGTCGCTTGATTGCCATTCGTCCAGGAATACAGAGTGAACCTCGGTGAGTGTACTCTACGAATGCTTTGAACTCTGGTTTTTCAACCTCTTCGAATGGTTGATCACATGCGACGAGTCATTTTGCAAGCAGGTCTTCGAATTTTTCTTGGCTCCAGTCTCCGAATGCTTTGTTGACTTGCTTATTGAAGGCATCGACAATATTTGCAGACACTTGCTCGAGTTGCGTCAAGTATGCTGCTGCTGCATCCGGATTGAGAACTTTGTCACCTCGTGCTAATTTGAGCTCGTCTTCAGTTGGAGGTGTCCCACGAGACTTCATGACTAGGTATAACCGATATATAGGTGGAAAATGTGTCTTAAGATGCCCAATCAAACCTAATAGTTATATTGTATTAGCCAAAACATATGCTAGTGATGATACTACTTACATTCAGACTTCTTTTCATCGCCCGCGTGATGGTGAGGACCTTTCGATTACCCAAATAACACTTATAGTGTTTGTCTCCTGTGTCACCAGCCTGACCCGCAGCATTCAGCTGTACAACCTCATAGAAATAATATATCGGGTTCCGCTTGGCAGCCTGATGATATCGTAAGTAATGAACTCTACGGGACAGCAAATGACTATACCTTGGCAGTGAGGACAGCAGGTACGACATCTTCTTCGATGAGACTATCTTGTATAGCTGCTGTAGTGATAGTGGCTGAAACCCCGCTGTTGGTGGGTGCCTGAGTGGTCCGAGTCGACCTTTTGGCCAAGTGCTTGTGCTTGTTGTGCCTGTTTGGGTGTTCCGGAACTGTTTTTGAAGGTAACAAGTGAGCGATCTTGTTTTGCATAAGGTTGAGCACACATAATGTTCTAGAGCCATATTAAACTTACCTCTTCATTTGTGATTTCGATGACATCACTTTCTTGATCAGAGTCTGGCGTACTAGTATCTGACTGCGAGCTTGAAGGACTAGTATAGTCACTCCCTTCATCATCCAAGTCACCCTCAACGGTAAGACCATCGAAGGGATTCTGGGTGGTTTTTGACTTCTTGCTTCTCCATGGCTAGACTTTGCAGCAGGAACATCTTGACTACCTTCCAATTCCACCGTGATACTCTCAGTCAGGCGTGCAGTATTTTTGACACGGTGCCCACGACCAAGGACAGTCTGGAATTGTGGCTCGTTGGCAGGCAAGGACATTGTGGGCAGAAAGGCCAGCTCAGGATACAAAAAACAAGTAGTAACTAGGAAAGTTTCAGTAAATATTGTAACAAACATACTGACAGTGATGCTTCCATTAGTGTAAAGCACATGCAGAAAGCCATCAGACTCGTCGCTGTCGTTGTCGTTGGTGGTGCAGGGCATGGCAGTTCAGGGCAAGAAGCTACTGGGTAAACCGGCACCCTGTTCTGACCATATAAGCCGTAAAGGTACCATCGACAGCCGTATGGAAGACGGTTTGTACGGTGTACGGCTTGGCCGTACACCGTACCTGTCTGCCTCCCTTTGCAGACCCGCCAGTATGGCAACCGTATCCGTCGACGGTCGCCGTACAAACCGTCTATTACGGCGACGGTGTGCAGCCCTAGTTGCAATTTTTGTGTTTATGTAAGTAGCTAGAAATTTCGTGAAAGTGCCGACTTCTGGAATGGATGTATGTTAATGTACAACTTCGCCTCCGGCTTCGTGCACATAAATAAAATCATCCACTAATGATAACCTACGATCGCGAATAGATTTTTAATGATCTTATGTGAGCATCAAATGGGCTCATTTTCTAAACTAAGTACTGCACATGAGCGCTATGCTCATGCGGACTGCTGGCATCTTGATCAGCGCATCATTACAATAAAATTTCTGATACCCAAGCAAAACAGTACAGGACGCTCTGCGGAGATGATTATTCTCCACGGTGGAACACTATTACTCATGATTATCAAATGCTCCCCGAGGAATAAATCAGGATATCATTTGGGTGAGATGCAACCAATCACATCTATAAATATTTTTTAGCCGAAAATATATCAATTGGATAGTGCTCGAGTGCGATGGCAGTTTGTGATGCTTCCTTATATGTGCTCATGAATTAGTATTTGAAGGGTATGACTCCTGATCTCACTTTACGACAATGCATCCTAAATCCCACACCTCAGCTGCAGCGAAGAATATCATTAACATGACCATACTTAACGTCAACAAACTCAGTTTCTATGTTATACTCCTGTCAGTTGCCTTTGCACAGATCCTAGTTGTCAGCGCTGCAGAGAACAACATTCTGACAATGTGGATGTTAGTTATAGTGAGTGGGTGCAGGTTGGCGATTATGTGGAGCACAACTGACGAGCTTCTAGCGGCGACCCATCCTTTTTGAAACTCAAATACAGCTGGAGGGTTGAAAGTTGACGTAAAGTAGGACAGATCGAGTGCATGGGCACATTAATATTGTAGGTGACAATATTTGGAGTAGAAGATGTGTTCACGCACACGTGATTGTTTGTTTATACTGAATGTATTACATGCTTCCCGAGAACAACCTTTCTTGAAGTTCCTTCTATTGAGATAGCACGGTGAGTACATTCTCTGATGCGGAGTGCAGAGGTGGTCCAACCATAGGTGTACGGTAGTGATTAGGCTCCGAGTCGGAGGCGTCTAGTACACGTCACATGCTGATTGAATGATTCAAGGACAATTTTGACTGTGGTATCAGGTCCGGACAGTTGTGCAACTAGTACGGGCGAGGTCTGCGAGGAGCTTCAGCTTGACCAAGTACTGATAAAGCTATGACAAATGTGAGGGAGACGATTGAGAGGCACAAGAAAGAAGGAATGACAGATAGCCCTGGATATAGCCAAATGATGGGGATCTTCTATGAAAAGCACGTTTGCAAGACCTGCTGGCCAAAGGCGATGGAGGCATCCTTTGCAGTCATGATGTAACATCCCACATATGATGTAGATGACGTCTCGATGTACCTTTCTGATATGTACTGATCACCATTACCAGGATTGGACCATTAGAGTTTGCCATTGCGAGCATGCTGAGGTCATGGTCATATCTGGATCAGACTCACACAATTACAACTCCTACTCTCCTCTCCTCTCCTCACCAATGGTGTCATAGATGAAGCACAGGACGTCTGTGCAGTCATTTCTTCCAGAGAATCTCGCATATGTGGTAGGTCGCCATAGGCGCAGTGCTCCCAGCGTCACATATCATTCTTGGAGGAGGACCAGGCGAGGTGGTGGCTGACTTCCTGACATATTCTTGAATGGTTGATCCTATATATAAATAAGCGGGAATGGGCTGACCAGATTACTACAGCAATTTCCTCCTTCCACGGTAAGGATAGGTTTAAGGCATTATCCTGTCTTGAAAAAATTAGCAATGGGAGGACGCATAAGTAATTTGTAAGAGTTGATTTGCAGAGCTTTTTCTCCGTCTGGACTCAAGACAACTTTGGTTGCGCAACTTGGTTACTTGAATGTAAGGCAGCACTAGAAGCTGAACAATTCTGTCGTATTTAACAGGTTCGAAGAATACAATTAAATGATACACAGTTCCGCAGATGCCATTCAGTGAAAACAGACTAAAATGTACCAAGTGGTGTGTCAATTTAGTCCTAATGCGCCCTCCATTGCAACCACGATACTCCCCATTTCCAGAGTATGTGCAGGGTCACACATGTGAATTTGTCCAGGATAATAGAGACAACGATGCGTGTGATGATATGTGCCCTAGGGTTAGTCACGGTTGTAGTCGAGGAGAGCTTGCTGCGTTATCCATAAATAGTGAAGCTGATGACCGAAGACTAGCACGAAAAGTCAGTGCTCTTGTTCTAGATGGGTATGACCGAATTCTGGCAAGCTTGGTAGGCTTTCCCACTCTAGACTGCAGTTGAGATTCTGTATTGGATGCGTATGGAAGGTACTCACGATGTTGTACTGGTTGCAATCGGATGCGAGCATGCCACACTGGTGGCAAGAATACTAAGAATTCCGTACATCCACCCAACTACCAGTTCTTCGCGAGATATCATGGCTACTGAGAAACCCTGCCTGATATATGATTGGCACAGCCAACAAATTTTCCGGCAGCATGTTCAGCAGATGACCAGTCCTGTGTTCCTACAGTGCCATGGACGGTGAGGACGAGGTGTTGGAGACTCACAGGATTGTTGTGGCTGGCAGTAGTGCTCCCCTAATATCCCCAGGAGTGACCCGGAAGAGTGAGGCCGTTCTGCACGCCAAGGTGGGCAACAATGTTGTCCAGGGACTAGCTCATCCAAATTGACAGTCCAAAACTCTTTGAGCTTCCCGCCATACCTTCACAAATGGACTTCCGAACTGGTTGTAAAAGATGATGAGGATGCCTGAATTTCGGAGAGAGGTGTCATATACTCATGCAGTATGCCAGGGCCGCCATGCAGTATGATGAGAGGGTGCGCACCCGAAACGAGATCCCCAACGATTTTGTACCAAGTCTGGTACGTGTCATCTCCGATTTTTAAATCTACTTTGCCTGTAACTTCAGCCATTAGAAGATCAACATATGAGGCGCATTGGGGGAACGACTGACAACCAGATGAGACTTGAAAGCTTGACATGTCGACACACGATGTGACGTTTATAGAACGTTCACACGTGAGAGTCGAAAAGGTCAAATAGACTTAAGGCTCGAGCAGAGTAACTGTCTGAACTAAAGTTATATTCGGGGAAAAAAGATCAACTGCCCTACTAGTAGATACACGTCGGTTTATATACTGTAGGGAAAGAATACTATGGAATATGAGAGAACAAATGAATATAAGTAACTAGAGAGAGTGATAATACTAATTATCGGTTGCTATCGTCGACATATCGACGACAGCTTTTGTCGAGCATAGTGATGTGCGGGCCCGGCTCGGCCTGAAAGCCCCGGCTTAGGCCTGGCTTTGGGGGGCTTGGGCTTTGCAAAAGCTCAGGCCGAGCCATGAGCCCAAGCCAGGCCAAAGCCGCGGCTCGGCTTGGGCTCAACGACGGCTTTCAAGAACAAAATGATCTAAAATTCAATCTAAGCATATTTGTAACGGTGAGCAATCAATGACACGCGCATACCAATGCCATCCACCATGCCATTCCCAATACCACGAACGCCATGCGCAAACGTCCAGTGCACGTCAGCAACTGCTGACATGGCTCAAACGAGTGCGGACGACAGATGCGAGTAGGAGGAGGGAAGAAGATGAGGAGATCTTGCGAAGGGTAAGTGGGCATTGAGAACACGGCAGTGTCGGTGTAGAGACTCATGCCTCTCATTGTGCAATATGGCAGTTTTCACTGGGGAGTACATGGCATGAACTTGTAGCATCACTCTGTGTGCTACCTGCAGCTATCTCTATATGAGGCGCAGCTTTCCCGCGCAACACGCGCCATGCGCGCGTACCTTTCCCGCACTTCACGATGTATATGCGCGCGCGCTTTCCCGCGCTTGAGCGCCCTATAGCGCCAGCCATCCGGAAGCATCCATCCACTGTCCACCAAGTTCCCTAGTGCGTATATTTCCATTTCTCACATTTGCATATTGTTCCATCTTTATTTTTATCATGGACCCTTACTTACATATATCTTTATATACCTTACTCGGTAGCGCTTCGGCTCCGCATGACAGCGCTTAGGCGCCATACTTAAGCGCCAGCAGTACATACTTACTTAAAAAAACTTACTCTCCCACCAGAACGACAGAGGACTTACTGGTTACTACCCACTATTTACCTAGCAGAACATAGTAGAAATCTATTTGTTTACACCTTGCATCTCCCTTCTCTTGTCTTACATCATATCATCACCTAAGCAAACTCACTCTTACTCTCTCTTGTTTCCGCATACATGCGCGCGCATTCCCGCGCTTCGCGCATTCTCGCGCCTTGCGCCCACCTGCGCTTTCTCGCGCTTCGCATTGGCCAACCAGTAGCGCTTTCAGCGCATACCTCTAGATCCTTGCTGCACTCGCTTCCCCTTTAGGGTCGAACGCACTTGTCGTCTCAAGTATAGCAGACTAGGCAACGCGCGACCTTACAACATTATAGATACAGTCAGGAGCATTGTTCGTGCCTCGCTGTATCGTTGAACCTTCATCGGGATGGTGCTCTAGGGGACTTGATCCGATCTTCTCGCTGAGATGTCAGATTATTTAAATATCGACTATACTTGGAGAGTGAGGACAATGCTGTGTCGCGGCGGGATCGATGATCATGAGATGGGGAGTGATATCCTGATTCATCTTGGTTGCTTGTACTATCCCAGCTTAGAGGTGGCGGCGAGTTGGCAGTCGGTATCTCCGATGCAATAGACTGGCACTGATGAAGGACGTGTTGATCCTGAAGACAACAGTGTAAGTGGATGCTGAAGACAACGAGTACATGGATGCTGAAGACGACGAATACATGGATGCTGAAGATGATGTGTAAGTTGATGCGGAAGAAGCAACTGGACTCGATAGTGCCATCGAAGACGACTCCTGCTCCAACTGGCGATGCTCCTCGTTTTCACGCTTGAGAACAATGGACATGGGCATGAGGATGTGATCAAATTTGCGAAGCTGGAATAATACTCAAGTGTCTCTCCAAGCGGGATGTAATGCATCTATGTGTGGTTTGCATGAGACTGCACAGTGCATGAAGATTCTCAGTGTTCTCTAAGTCCTCTGCCAAAACGGACCTTGTTGGTGACAAGCTCGAGGCTCTTGAACGGAAATGATGGCGCCAGCGGTGTCGTGTGGATGTTGATTCACCTGCCAGAGATGGTGGTGCATGCGCATGGCAAGGATTGCAAGAATCAAGACCTGAAAACCATGGTTAAAGGTCTAATGAGACATATGAGAAAAAGTGAGGTTGCCCACGATTGGTGGGCGCACAACTCTGGGTTGGGCTGGATGAGTGGCAGTACGCATCAAATGAAGATGTCATTGAGTCCGTGGAGGTCTGTAAAATCGATATCTATGAGGGACAAAAAGCCGCAGCCTGAGCCGCCGGCTCAGGCTTTTCAACACCTCAAGCCGGGCCCTGGGCCGTGGTCAGGCCCTGACTTGGGCCCGGCTCGGCTCGGCCTAATCAGGCTCGGCTTTGGCTGGCCCACGGCCTGAAGCCGGGCCGTGCACGTCACTAGTCGAGTGTTACACACGATAATGGCTGATGTGTTTCGAAATGACAACATTGGGACCAAATTGGAATGTTCAACTTGGATTACTCAAGTAGTATGTAATCCTAGGATACCCTTTCCGCATACTCGTTTCCCTAGTGAATGTACATCCGGATTCCCATCTCAATCAGATATTCCAGTTTGCTCTGAGGGCACACCTCACATCAGAGCATTCACCAATCTAGGGGCACGATGGGACACAGGCTTCTCAGATTAAATGCATCGTCTTGTATAGAGTTCTTTTATCCAGTATAGCCTTTCTCACTGCCCACTCAAATAATAAACTGGAAATACAATTTGTTGTTGAAGGCTACTGCCATGATATGTGTATAGTGATCATATACAAAATGACCGTCCGGTCTACTGATCCATTATTCTTTACATCAACTTTCAACCTTACGCTGCATCGAGCCTTCAAAAGCCCTCGCAGGGCGATTCCAGTTCATCTCTTACTAGAGGTTCAAATTCATCAGCCAAGTCCTACACCATCACCGGGACCTACTCACAGGCTACATCGTCACTCAGGTTCCTGGCACAATCCGGCACACTGGTGATGGGTGCTGCTGTGATTTGCGCGAAGGCCACAGACAAGAGTAAAATGTAAAAGCTAATTTTGGGCAGGATCATGGTTGTATTGAATGATACTGTTGGCTAAGATTTGTTGGTTAAATCGATGCGTTTTTGTGTGCCAGATGAAACTGTAGTCGGGCCCTTTTATACATCAGCTCGGCGAGGGTTTACCTAAGTGAGTTTGAAGCACGTTGCTTTGGGATTAGAGTTAGTATTTTTGTCAAAGGTAAGATGAAGGTCGGCGTTCAAATACGGTGCACAGCGATTGACTGATGCGGACTTACCATGGCTGTATTAATCGTGAGGCGGTAAAGGTTTCAGAGTAGTACTGACTCATCAGAAGGCCGGGATGACGGCACCTACAGGTTTGTACTGTTTTTGGATCCAACACCACAAGGCTGATGCACAGCACCTCCGTGCAAGGACATGCCGTCACTTTCGGTTTAACTTTGAAAATAACATGACTTGAGCGAAATCTGTTTAATGCAGTTGCTGCCACGACCGAAATGGTCAGCAATAAGTTCGCAAGTTGGATTGGAACCACTCAACAATATCTGCGTGATCCAGGCTAATCAGAGAAATAACCTTACCTTATGGTACATGATGCATGATTTTTTCAGGATGACGGAGATGGCAGTAGATCATGATGCCACAAAGCCTGGTTGCCACATGGGTGAAGTGGAAAAGCAGTTCGTTGCATTTCAATTTCATTTCTGTTATCCGTCGGTGATTAATGATTTCCTAGGTGCCTAACATCATGCATCATGTGTCGCTGCGATCAGGCCATCAGCGCTCAGCGCTCAGCGTCCATCATGTGGCAACGCCACCATGGAGCCCACAGAACTTGAAGGAGCGACTTGTGACTTGTCCGACTCAGTACTAGTTCCTTCTATCGGTAAATCCATTCTCCGACTGCAAGCTAAAGTCATCAACACTTCAAAACAAAATTGATCGGCAATCTCCTTATCTCGTACTATTCCGCGTCCTACCGCATCTTAACAATTTCTGCGGTATACAAATATTTAGAAATGTCTCTCGACTCAACACAATCATGCGCTGATTGAATCATACGAAAGGACAAGTTTGACCGTGATGCGTCCGCCGGACAATTGTGCAACCAGTCCATATGCGAGATCCACGAGGAGCTCTAACTTGACCGTGGTAAAGTATTTTAGGGCTATGGCGAATTAGTTGGCAGTGCTAATCATATAGGATACTGGGCTTAATACTTAATAATCAAGAACTTGCGTTACTACTAGTATCCATGATGTCTCGCGTAGAACTGGCAGTTGGTTGGATGTTCGGAATGCTTACTATACTTGCCACCATGTGGCATGCTAACAACCGACTCAAACCGGCAGAACATCGCGAGTACCTCCCATACGTGTTGAAGCAAAAACATGATAGACTAACCTCCGCACTTTAGAATCTATAGAATACACTTACGCTGCTGACGATTACCCATGGGAATTTCCTGTCGATCTCACCCATGAAGCCGTCGCGATGACTCTTCACGAGAGTATGCATTTTGCTCTAAACGCATCTGACACAGAATCCCAACTGGAGTGGGAGAGCCTCCCAAGTTGGCCGAAAATAGTTAGTCGCACCCATCTAGGACCAGAGCAGCGACTTTTCGTGCTGGTCTTCGGTCATCAGCTTCACTGTTTATGGATACTACAAGAAGCTCTCCTCGACTACAACCGTGACGAACCCCTGACCAATTATCATCACGCACATCACTGTCTCAATTATCTTCGGCAGACTCTTATGTGTGATTCTGCACATACGCTGGAAATGGGAGACTTTCTGAAAGTCGATTACGAGAAGGACAGAGTGGGGGACACATTAGTGTGCAGGGACTGGAGCAAGGCCATTTCTGTATCTGAAGAGTACCACGAGAAGTGGTTGCAGTGGAGGGCGCATTGGAATTGAATTGACATGCTACTTCGTATGCTTCAATCCATTCGAACATTCAGTCTCTACTAGTAGTACTGTCTTATATTACGGATCATAACCGGAAGCGAGACCGCCGACGATTTTGTACCAAGTTTGATATATATGTGTCTCCGACTTGTAAATCTACGTTGCCTGTAACTTCAGCCATTCGAAGATCAACTTATGGGGCGCGTCGGAGGTGGTGACCAAATGAGACTTTGACAATAGAGGCTGTTATCGATGCTGTGCTATGAGGTAAGTTCCTCCCAAAATTCTACTAGTCTATTCTGATAATTCACTTAGGTTCTGACTCGGAGCTCAGCCGGGAGGAACCGTCGTATCTCCCTTTGATCTCCCTGGACTTCCAATTCCGTGGACCGTTCAAACTTTAAACATGTGTCTCATGGCTCGTTTCCTGAAGAGGAAATGCTCGGTCAATTGAAAGTTTCCGGTTGTGTCGCAATTGTAGTAGGATTCTATGCGGATTGATCCACCTGCAACGGTGACGTTATGGTGTTATTTAACGAGGTGCTCACTGCGGCTCACACCATCGTTGCGACTCGCTCCCACTCTCCCCAGATATCTCCTTACTCCTCCGGAAGCCTGAGGATCCTTCAGGTTATTCTGTTCGCCATCTGATCTATCATGTCACTCAACTCTAGTTGGACACCGGACGAATCGTCTGAAACCCTTCTCGCAGAGAAAGGCTGGTTGCAAGGGACAGTGGCCAGCTCCATTGCATATGGCATTGGTGTTACACTGTTCTTTATGTGCTTCCACCTCCTGATCCGGCAAATGACCCGCACGAACTACAAAAAGAGCCTGCCTCTACTCATATACATCACCATAGATTTTATCCTCGGCACCTTATTTATGGCATCGCTGGCTGATTTCACACAATTCGCATTCATTCAATATCGCGATTATCCAGGCGGTCCAAACGCATTTGAGAATGCCATGTTCGGCATTCCTGTGGACAATGTGGGAAACGTCTGTGGTTTTCTGATGATGGCTCTTTCAGATGGATTGGTCGTGAGTAGAGGTATTCGATGTTGAAAATGTTATCGCTAATCTGTTCAGGTTTGGCGCTGCATAGTAATTTACAAAGGGTGTATGGTACCAGTGTGGATCATCATGTTGTTCCCTTGTCTGATGTTCGCTGCATCCATCGGTCAGTTGCTTACTTTCAATGTCTGTTTGATTGTATCGGACGCTCACCATCGCATCCATTAGTTATGGGTATAATGTGGCTGCTTCAATTAACCAGCAATTCCCCATTTTTCACCTCGACTAACATCAACTACACCGCTCCATATCTCAGCCTCTCACTCGCACTGAACATCATCATCACGATCGTTATCGTACTTCGTCTACTCACATATCGTCATCGAATTACCAAAGCTCTTGGCTCTAGGTTCGGTGCTCAGTACACGTCGATTGCTGCGATGATAGTCGAATCTGCCGCTCTTTATTCCACATTTTCGCTGGCACTTCTAGTACTCTTCCTTCTGAAAAATCCCATCTCTGCATCATTTATTGAATTGCTACCTCAGATTCAGGTTAGCACTGCCAATTAGAGAGACATTCGCGTTGCTTATGACATGCCACAGATGCTTGCAATGTTGCTCATAGTTTTCCGGGTCGCGCAAGGAAAGGGTTGGTCTCAGGACACCATGTCCAGGGTCATGGCCTCGAAGCCATCAGTGCAAGCAATCCGTATGGGTGATTTCGGGTACAGTTTGCGGGATGGCTCCAAAACGTTCACTGGTTCCTCTGGCATTGAAGCGCATGCAGTCTACAAGGGTAATGACCACGATTCAGCGGAAGCAATTGTTGAGGAAGGTCGCTTGGATACCTACTGAGATAACAATTGTAGAATACTACGGGTCAGAGTACATGTAAAACCAAATATTTATTTAGTATACTTTGACGATGGACCGGCCTCAGGATTATTTGTACTACACAATTATTTTGAAAATAACGAAACCTTGCATTAAATAGTGTAGTTGTTCAATGGAAGCACATGAATATTGACCGGCGTATATAGAAGATAACGTATCAGTGTCCGAATCATCATGCAGTTGATGCGCTCAAACTATCCGCATGCATGTAAGTCATTAGTAATTGATGGACTGCCTCACCGGAGGTCCTCATTACGCTAACCTTTGCCTTCCATAACTCTACGGCACCTAAATGCTTCTCCGAGCCACGCAGTGATCTGTATCCGAAGCAACCCCACGATGATGAGTCCCTGTATCTTGTCATGGCATCAATTGTACAGGTGGCTATTGACCGTATTCCGCATTACGATACGGTGACTCTGACGGATCGATCCGAGAATCATACCTTATACTAGCGTACTGCCACGGGGCTACTAGTACTTTACCTGTAATTGAATCTTAAGCGCCAAAAGTTCTGCGATTCCCTGCACATAGTGATGAGACGACTTTTCTTTGCTCTTAAAGCAATACTCGCCACAGTCGTAGGCATCAGCCTTGCCAATCTTATTGCACGAAGGCCTCGGTTGTCCGGCAGCAGTTTTTTCAAAGGAATTGCTCTCAGCCATGGTACTACAAAGCTTTCGAGCGTGTCCTGAAGGCTTGACTGACGATTCCACGCATCAGATCTATCCCTTCAAATAGATTTCGGAGAACCAGTATGGATGCGAATAGACCAAACAGCACACTACCGCGCCGATACGGATGAGGGTGGAGAAGAGTTTGCGAAACTCGTTCCACGGGGAGGACATACCGTTCCTATCAAAGATGCGGAGACGGGTGAAAGTCGCATTTACACGGTGACACTCTTTCACCAGCTCAAGTGCCTGGGAATTATCCGTGACAACTACGCAGAAATGCGCCCCCCGTCGTCGGTTACTCGTCACTGCATGAATTATCTTCGTCAATCGATTTTGTGTAACCCCAACATCAAAATTGAGCCGGTCGTAAATAACGTGGGGTCTGCCGTCAGGGGATACGAGACTGTTTGTCGTGACTGGACAAAAGTTTACGAGGAGGTGGATAAGCTACATGGAATGACTTCGGATGTGTAGGAGGTTTGAACGTGTAATACAAACTGCACACTGTAAGTATACAGTGCGTACTGAAGTATACACACAATTGTACTCACATAGGCCAACGGATGGCACATCTGAAACGCCAGAGCGAAGAAAAGCCAGGGAATGAATATTTTCATCTGATAGAGACGCCAAGTGATATGGCCATATCTTGAGATGTAGTCCGAGTCGAGCAGAGCGGCTAGCTGCAACGTCCATAATTAAATAGCGGAGTCGATCAACACCAAAACTCGGTGCTGACTACTAGCAAATAGTTAGATGCTTGCGGCCATGCAGATGAATCTCCTATTTATTGAGGTTAGAATGCACGCTCTAGCCTCTCGTGAAGACTCATGACAATGGCTGCTTGAGATGAATCGATGAAACTTGATATCGACAGAGGGTGAGACTCTTGAGAGGTACTTGCGAATTGCGATGGTGTGCTGCAGCCTGCCAGTACTAGCCACAACAGTTGGAACCATGTGTGTCATTATGGACGTTCAAATTTAAAGCTTGTTTTCCACGCTGGAGTTGCTCAAAAATAGTTGAAAACATGTTTCAGTTACATAATATTGGAGCATCCCGTATATGCAGAGATAAGGAGATTGCCGATGAATTTTGTTTTGAAGTGTTGATGTTTAGGCTCCGAGTGGACCGTCAATCAAAATCACGAATAGAGTAACGGGTAGGCTCGTGATGCATTCAGTACAATCCCGTACTCGCGATGTTACACGTCTTCTACCCCCAATGTCACCTGCAATGTGCCCATGTACTAATACATCCTTTGCGTCAACTTTCAATCTTTCAGCTGTATTTAGGTTTCAAAATCCCGCATCTATAAGCTCCAAGTTATCAGTCGTGCTCCACATAATCACCAGGACCTACTCACCATCAATTATATCATCCATATTATCAGACTCCAGGTTGTTCTCTGCCGCACTGGCCGCTAAGATCTGTGCGAAGGCAACCGACAAGAGTAGAACATAGAAACTGAGTTTGCTGATGTTAGGCACGGTCATGTTGATGAGGTATGGTAGTTAAGATGTGTCGTCTTAAAATGAAATTGGGAGTTGCGTTCTTTAAATACCAGTTCGTGACCAACGGCCATCACGCTCCTCGGAGCATTATTCAATTGACTTGATCGTCAAATCGGAGTACGTTAGTTTTACTCAAAAAAAATATTCTTAGCTGTGGTTCGTTTCACCTCGTGAACTTATACTTTGATGGAATTCGGCGCTCCTATTGCACGCGCAGCAGGTGACTGGAGTCGGCTTACTACGACCGTACTAGTACGCATCAAGCATTGAACGGTACTAGTAGCCCACAGCAAGTTTCCTGTAATGGTTACGGTGCTTCAGCTTTTAGGGTTCAAACTATGCGAATATACTCCCCGGGGAGATATGATAGAAGTGACACCATTTCTCTCTGCTTCCACCGCGGAAAATACCGCAAAGCGTTCTGTGCCGTTCAGTCTGTTCTGCCATCAGAAGTTTTGACGTAACGATGCTCACATAGAATCATTTAAATCATGAATCTATTCGTACGTGATCGTCGGTGGATCATGTATTCACCTGCCGGAATGTGCCGTGACGACGTGTTGATACTGCACACGCCCGAGTGGGACTTATCCGCATTCGCGAGTACACGAGTAAGATGGCTGATGGCAAGTAGGATGATACAGGATTATAACCAAATGTTGAAACCTGTTAAATAAACCAAATGCTTCGTCTCTATATGCGAGGAAAATCAAGTTATACAGTGGAACGCTGGATCATGTAGACAGCTAAACGTTCAATTATGCCGTCAGCGAATTTCATAGAGTGGTAGAGCACTGACCTGGTGCAGTGTCCTTGTGAGCCTGCCACCATTCTATATCGCAGCTACCGCTTGGCTCATCCTCCGAACATGCCAACTCGAAAACAAGGACGTCGTCCGTTATACAAGAAAGTTTTCTGTGCCAGTTCAAGCTGTCTTGCCCTAGCACAATATTATCAAGTTTCGCGACCTGTGGTGGTCGTACATTAAACGATAACGTTGAAATATCAACTGGTACAGTGGCATTGAGACGATATAAAGCAAGCGTCGTTGGTCGGTCCATAGGCGGAACGGCGACGTGCAATTCGCAATTTTCCATGCCCCAGTCGATCGCCCTGAATTGAAATATTGTTGAAACCTTTTATTCCGTCAGTCTATAGAACACAAAAAAGGAAGATAAACTGACAGATTGTGTAACGTGAACTTTGCGGTCATCAGGCGAGATTGTGCCGGCACGGGTCGTGCGCATGGCAAGATAGTCATTGAAAACATGACTTGGTGCAGAATGATCCACCAAGCTGACAGACACGGGAAAACTTGTGAACTCTCTCGGAATGGGAGGCGACGTCCGTGCGATCTCGTCGAACCGCATATATTGAGAAGGACGACGGAGAAGGTGGACATTCTTTCGAGTAATAAGTTTGTCTGAAGATACCGAAGAGTCTTGAAGAAAGGCAGGGGTAGATATCAGTAACAGGTTGAGGAACGTGCAGAAGATTACGATGACAAGAGGCCAGTGGTCCAAGCACAGTTCGTGAAGTTTCATGCAACTTTGCTTTGTAATCGTCATCACTCTCAGAGTCAATGACTTCTTGTGGTGTCGGACTCAATGGGGTGTATGACCTAGAGCGTGAGGAAAAGAACATGACGGGGAAAATGATTTGAATTGATCATAATAGCAAGGGTGATTTGAACAGCAGTCACTGGACACGACCCAGACTCCAAACCATCGGCGGGTGTGTGAGAGTCTTCATACTATTACTTAATGCCACAAACCAAACATGTACAACATTATTTCAAACACCGCAACTTTGGACTCGACGTAGTGGCGCGAAGTTTGCTTGTATTTGTCCCACCGAAAAAGACTTCCGAACGTGCTGACATATCCCAAAAGAAATGGGAGTATTAGTTGAAAATCTATAGCGTGACCTTCCCTTGAGTCACTGAGTGATGTGATGGATAATCCTTTCTGAGACTTAGCATCTTCTAAGTCATGTATCTTGATGTCATCATCAGGTGGCCGAGTCTGAGTCAAAGTACCGAGCTTTGCAGAAATGAAACTGGGTCTTACATACTCCTTGTACTTGGCAACTCCAATCGGCTCACAACCAGCTTGAGAACAAAGATGTCTTCACCATCTCTCCCACTGGCTCAGGAAAGACTCTTACCTTCTGGATTCCCCTTTTATTCAACAATGGTGGAATAACCATTATTATTACCCCACTTAATATCCTCAGCAAGAAGAACCAAGATGAAGCAAATGGTTATGGGTTTCTGGCCCTTGATATATGTGCGGAGACAGCAACAGACGAGGCTTTTAAAGTGAGTCGTACAGTAACATTAATATTACACGAGTCTGATCGTATATTCGTCAGGACATAGAGAAACTGAAGTACCAAGTTATTGCTGTTAGCCCGGAACAAATACTTTAAGATGCTTGATTCAAAAAACTTTGGAAGTCTCAAACATTTACAGATGATCTCTTCAATATCACATTTGACGAGAGCCATTGTATCAGTGAATGGGGCAAAGACTTTCGACCACTGTATAGTGAGCTGGGGAATCTTCAATGGTATCTTCCAAATCATGTTTGATTTCATGCTGTGTCTGCAACTATGCCACCACACATCCTCCTAGACGTCCAGTCCAAACTTTGCATTCGGTCATATAACCTTGCTAAAATTGTGCGGTCAAATGACCGTCCAAATATTCATCTTATGGTTCAGGAGATGAAGTATCCATGAAACACATACTACGACCTTGCCCAAATTTTGTCGCTCAAGGAGGGTGCACCACCTGAGAAGTTCATGCTCTTCATAAATTCTTGAGATCAAGTGGAAGGGGTTTGCAATAGCTTATGCAGGGACTTGCCTGCACATCTTTGGCATAATATCATATGGTTCCATTCAGGCATGTCAATGCAGTTCCGGCTGGACTCAATGGAAAAGCTGACAAAGGGCGAGATTTGGGGGATCTGCTGTACTGATGCAGCGGGAATGGTGAGTACTCACGGCCATATCGAAGATCCCTCACGTATTGACATTGATATTGCAGGGCCTTGATCTTCAGGATATCAGATTGGTCATCCAATGGGGATATATAAACTCACTTTGTATATTGATGCAATGCCTAGGACGTGCTGCACGAGACCACACCTTAATGGCACCTGCAGTATGCTTCGTGGAACCATTGTACTTTGATACATATAGTGGCAAGTGCAAATGACCTGAACTTGGTGAAGGTCAACATCGCCTGAAAAAGAAGAGGGTTATGATTGTGGACACTGAAATCACAGTGGTGCCTGAAGAGGAGAACAGTCAATGTAGGATTGATGGTGGTACCTTCAATGGGGGGGACAATGATGGGCAAATGGACAGTATCAGCAGCATGGTAGTGGATCAGCAGAACAGACACACTGTTTCAGTGGTTCAAGTTGCTGGCACTTCTACTCCTATGAGGATCCTTCTGGTAAATGCTGATAGTGATGTTATGGAATGGGCTGCCATGTATGCATAGGGATCTGCACGGGTATGGGTAACCCGTGCGGGTCATGGGTATGGGTACCACTGGGGTATGGGTGGGGGTTGGTTTTCGAGGCACCCATACCCTTACCTGCACCCTCACTGTGGGTTAGCAACTGAAATTGTGCGCTACAAAGGAAAATTCCGAGCTCACTACTGTACAGCTGTCAGGGACTCAAACCTTATCTGTAGTCTAAAGACAAATAGCTATTATATTGCCTGTCACGCCTACTACCAATCACACACCCAAGTCCAACATGTTCGGATCTATGAGCAAACAGATAACGAAACTGACAGATAAAGCCAAGGCAGCCCTTGAGGGTTCCAGCAAGAAACGGAAGAATGATGCGAACAGCATGACCAGTACTAGCGAGCCCAAGAAGGCAAAACCCAACCGAATCAGCGGAAGCTCTAAAGATAGAGACACAGAACCACTCTCACCATCTCCGCCTGCAGAAGATGTCCCTACTAAGCCCACACAATCCTGCAAAAGTGTCATCCAAACGGAGGAAGAGGAGGCTGCAATGTATGAAGATGCCATCGAGATCAGCGACGCCAACCAGAGCAGCAACAATGGTGTTAACAACGCCGACAATGATGAGCTGTCCGATACCGATAAAGAGGAGAGCCCTGAGGATGAGCTAAGTGAGCTAAATCAATTTGAAAATAATTTCGGTGTTAATTATATCAGAGAGGTTAATGAAAGATTGGATCTCACTGGTGTACACTTTTTTCAATCCCAAGCCATGCATTGTCATCATCGAAGGACGGCGCGCACACGAGTTTAAGTGCTTCGGCAAAAGCTGCAAGGCAACTGTTCGTCGATACCTCGACAAAAAGGATGCACGAAGTACCGGGAATATGCGGAAGCATGTGAGGGCATGTTGGGGTGAAGACGTTCTCATGGCTGCTGATAATGCCAAGGATGCGAACGAGGCACGCACTAAGATAGTCAGAGGGTTCCTACGAAACGGATCAATTACCGCATCGTTTGAGCGGAAGGGGAAAGGCCAAGTGGCGTACTCTCATCGTCAACATACTCGCGCCGAAACAAGGTATAGTAGTCTTGGTGGTCCATGAAGTCTTGTCTGATGTTGTTACAGGGATCTGTAACACCTACTAGAGCCCCAGCTCTCCCTACGCCTGCCCCCGCTCTGCTAGACTCCCCGCGCGGCGGTGCGCCGCCTGCGCCTAGAAAGATAGCGGTCTGGACCGCTATGACCCCGCCTCATGGCGCTACGACCCCGCCTGACGCTATGACCCTGCCCCTGGCCTAGACGGCCTTGTACCTGATCCATGGAGGCTGTACACCTCATGGACACCCTAGATCAGCGCATGTATACGGCATGTCGCTTCATGAAGATCCGGAGCGCTTCCATGCGCCTCCTGTTGATTGCGCAGCTGCACTTGGCGCTGCATGTATGATCAGAGGCTAAGCCTCATGTACTTTATCTAAACCTCATGTCTAGCTATCTTAGATTAGCGATATACTATAGATTATAGACTGAGCTTGAACGCTTACATACACTATGTATAAGTAGGCACATTGTTGTAGATTATACTTCACTTTAATCTACTAGGTTCATCCCCAGAACTTGCTCATCTAAGCCTACCAGCTTCCTTGTGTGAGACCGCACTTCTAAGTCGCCCCCATACGACTTAGCACGTATCCGCTAGCCCTGCATCTCGACGAGCGCCGTCTTACCGAGATCGCCGGAGGAACCCTTGACATTCCGTCAAGGTTAGACCACGCTCAGCTTCAGTAGACTCACTCGAGTCGTCGCTGAGAAGACCTATCCTAGTTCGCACACGCCGACCTACAGTCGACGTAACAGATGTCAATACTAGGGCAGAAATAGTCAAATGGGTGGCAGAAAGCCTGCGCCCATTTGAAATTGTGAAAGACCAGGGTTTTCAGTCCCTGATGAAAACAGGAAGACCAGAGTATTACTTACCTTCGCCTAGTACAATCACCCAAGACGTTCGAGTGGTGTTCGTGCGCACCCATGAATGTATTGCTAAGATGACAAAGGTAAGCTCGCGAACTTTGAATTAAAGACAGAAAAAAATTAACGACGCACCAGGAATATGCAGGCAAGCTAAACTTCACCATGGACGGCTGGACGGCAACAAACCACAGGGCGTTCATCACTTTTTTGGTGCACTTGGAGCACAATGGTGTACTGCTAAGTTTTCCGTTAGATATAGTTGAGGTGCCAAAGGTTTGAAGTACTTACCGTGCACGTGACTGGCTTGCTGTTACAAGTAACATCGGTCACGTGGCCCCCCTATCATTTTCCCCTCATCCTCGCCCTCACCATCTACCGGCTCGTCCTCCTCTACCGCCTTTCCGTTGACCGGATCCTCGGGACCGTTCCCGTCCCTCGCATCGCCCGCCTCTATGCACGTGCACGCACGTTCCTCCCTTGATTCGACCACCAATGTGGTCCCGGACCTATGACTCGGTCTGACTCGTGCCACCAATGTGGCTTTCCTCTTTCTGTTTCCCCTGACTGCGGATTCCCGCACGTTGTATTCTTACCGTTGGTCCGTTCCAACGTTTCTCGGTCTCATTCCACATTCGACCACCCACCACTAATCCGGCTCTGATGCCAGCACACCTATACCATTCTCGCTTCCCCTTTACCCTTACCTACTGTGCGGTAGCCTTGCCCTTAACCCTCTCCACTTAGTATAAGTAGTCGGTCACTCTGTACTAGATTCTCTAACTTGAATCTACTCAATCTTCCCTGGAACATACTTCCCTCTGAAGCCCCCTCAGCTTCAGTCTCTAGTATCTTTTCTTAGTCGCTCATCGCGGCTAAGTCTATCTCGATCGACCTCATCGTACGGACAAGACAGTCCTTACTTTGAGTGACTTCTTAGACATCCGTCTACCAAGTCACGTGACACCCGCGTACTGTGATCACTGCCGACTCGTCGTCGCCAGTATCACTTGCTATACCGGATCCTTCCGGTTACGTCACGAACGTTAGCGGACGACGCCCCTCTTAGGGCTCCGCCTAACAGATCTATTTGAGTGCGTAACACTTGCTGATTGAGATGTAGTCTCACACTGGCGAAGAGCTCGCAAACACATTTCAAAAGGTCCTGGAAGAGTTTGGGATAGCAGAAAAGGTAAGTTTTTAATCAGATGCTGAAAGGAGACTTACCGATTGTCCACAGATGCTCTGTGTTCACATAATTCAGTACTTTATTTCTGACTTAGACGGACAGCCAAAGGTTGAGAATCTCCCCAGTTAGACGGGCCATCCTAGGTCAGCCCATACGCAGATAGGGCGGGCGGGCCAGCCATGAAGGCAATCCTCGGTGGTGACAGGTGGGCCAACATCATGCAGTATTATTTGTAGGCTGGGGTAATAGTCAATAAACCAGTGGGCCAGCCATGGAAGGACCGGGAGGGATACAGAAGAAGCATGCATTAATATATTGGGCCAGGATGTGTGCTGGGGTACCGGCTGGGCCCAAAAGTATTCTTGGACAGGGAATGACAGCCCCTTATACCCGGTACAGGCGGATGGGCCCAGATATGGACCCAACCATTCCAAGGTCCTCATCAATGATGATTGGGCCATCATACCCGAGACCAGCGGATGGGCCCGCCAATGATGGGCAGGCAGTTGTACCCGGTATTGGCGGATGGGCCCAGATGTGAACATGACCATTCCCAAGGGTCCTCACCAACTTTGTATCCGAGACTGGCCGACAGGCATGTCCTCCGTTAATTATGGGTAGGCTGGCACCTGAGCCCAGTGGACGGCACCAGACCAATGCTGTGAATACCGGATTCGCATAGGTATGGTGTCCCAGACATCTTGCACATCTGAACAGTTGCATTCCCTTGTGTGTGTAATCATGTTACTCGCACATCCAGTCCTTGATGGCGGATCTTCCGGACACAGACATCAATGCCAGTTTGGATGCTCCGGCCGACACAACATAGCTTTGTATTGACTTGCATGAGCAGTTGGTTGGTTCAGCTACCGAATTTATACCACAACAGAGATCCAGTATCATTCGGACACGACTCAGATCAACTTATCCAATATGGCAGATAAGATGCGATCAAATCGAATCAGTCCACCGAACAGGAGTGGCCGGAGCGTCTGCGCTCTGAGCAGCCGGTGCAGATTACTGATCCCAACTTCCACACCCATCAGAGCCAACATATTCCATAGCAGTGCCCGCTGTGTACTGGTTAAGATACCCGAGTCTTCATCTACAGAGCCATGTTGGGAGCTGGGCGTTTGGTGGGATTGATATGAAGTGACCATTACAATCGTGTAAGAACTAAAGTATATTGCAAAAATGTGTGTGGGCGTCAGTGCAGAAAGGATGGATGTGTTGTGACGGAACGGCAATGAGATGGAATGCTAAGGTATAGTATAGATGGGGGTTGTGGAAGGGGCGGGAATGGAGTGAATTTGCCCAGGTGGGCGGGTGGGCCAACATCATATAGTATAACAATGAATTGTGTTGTCGACTGGGGTAAGAGTCAATACAAGGGACCAGTGGGCCAGCCATAGAAGGGCCGGGTGGACCCCAGAACTGCATGCCCAGTACCGGCGGCTGGGCCCATAATATTCTCGGATGGGGAATGACAGCCTGTCATGCGCGGTACAGGCAGATGGACCCAGATATGGACCCGATTATCCCTAGATCCTCGCCAACAATGATTGAGCCTTCGTACCTGGAGCCAGCGGATGGACCCGGAACTGAACCTCATCCCAGCCAACGGTGGGCAGGCTATTGTACCCGGTACCAGCGGATGGCCCAGATGTAGATGGAACCGATACCTAGGTCCTCATCGACGATGGTTGGGCCTTCATATCCGAGACTGGCTGATGGCCCCAGAACTCGACCACATCGCTGCCAATGATGCACAGGTCGTTGTACCCAGTTGCGGTGGATGGGCCCGGATGTGGACCTAACAATCCAAAATGTCCCCAACAATGATGGGTGTGTCGTTGTATCTGTGACCGGCTGACAGGTGCATCCTGTCTTATGATCGGTAGGCTGTGGCACCCGGGCCTGACTGACGGCCCAAAACCATGGGACCAGATATCTTACACATATTGGGCAACGGATGGGCTGTAATACCCTGATACAGGCCATCGGAACCGAAGAAAATCGGTCATAATGGGTCTCGAGACTATATTGGCAAAACATGCGCCGGTAGTCCAAGCGAACCCGATTGGCGGGTGGATCCGGGTCTCGCCGTAAATAGATCTTGCAATTGAGTGTTTGATGGGGAGGTGGGGCGGAGTTTGCACGCCCGCAGCCGTTGGGTCTGGTGCTGGTGATACAAGCTCTGGTTCCGTCGCCCTCGCAGCAATCGGATTGTCGAGGGATTTGCCGGATGGAAGAGCTGGCAGCATAACGGGGTCCATTGCTGATAGGACTGGTTGCAATTCACAGTGTACGGAAGGGGGATCGTTGTATGGGAAAATGTCTGACAGCGGCCGGGTTTTATATGAACCCGTCGGTTGTGGGCATTCCGACAACTGTGGAGAGTCATATGTGTGAACCGAGTGTAAGACTATTGTAGAGAACCACCACGGCTACCATAGGCTAAACCCTTTGGATCTACATCAGGAAAGGCCGATCTACCATTGCTTCCGGGAGATCCTGTACGGCTGTGAGGTACTGTCCACTCTGCGATCATTTTATCACTGCCTCCGCTGAGGATCGATCTACCATTGCTTCTGGAAGATCCCGTACGGCTGTGAGGTACTCTCTGAGATCATTTTATCGCTGCCTCTGCTGAGGATGAGGTCATGTATTCCATTTATGTATGGTAGAATCCTCACTGAGACTTGTGAGAAGGTGTGTGTCATCGGCAATAATTGAATTGGCTAGCTACAATACAACAGATACTAATCTATGTCGCCATTCTCCCAAAGTCATTGTATGATAGCTTTATGATAAAAAAACAGACTGGTATTAAGCAAATTGGTGATGCAACAAATTATAAATGAATCAAATGACCATCAGCGACCCTTCACCAAATATATGGCGGCGCTTTGCAGCTGGCTCCCGAACATCTTGCTCAGGATGAAATAGATAATTCAGCATATCCAAGTCATGCTCCGCCACAATCTTCTGCCCATCCCACGCACCGTCAGGCCGTCGAATATCCTTCCAATTGACATACATAAGATAATGTGTCTTCTGGATTGGTCCGGCCCAATCGAAATCGAGCAGCATGAAGTGTTTGTCATCTCGCACAATGAAATTGGTATCTCGAAGGTCGCCATGCACGTAGCTGTCATTGTGATTGTGTAACTCCTGGATGAGAGAGGTGATGGTCTCCTTCAGCGGCTGACGGTCCAAAACACCTATCTCACTGAGCAGTTGATATGAGCCAGGTCGTTGCGGAAGGCAATCATTATCAATATCAAGGGCATCCATAATCACCAGATTCCAGCCGCCGGGTAAAGAATTGTAGGCAATAAGTTTGGGGGTGTTCCCCTTGCTGGCACAGAATTCGTGAGCCTGAGGGGAATAGTGCCTGACAAACTTGATGCATATCTTGCTCCCAGCCGCATCGCCGACGGTTTCCCCAAAGAAAATAAGTCGATCCCTGAGGATTTGAGTCTCATCATACGAGAATTCCTGAATGAAACCGGTGGAATTGGTATAACTCCGAGGGTAAGGACATTTAAGATATGGATATTCGGGTTTGAGGGACAGGATTGGACGGGAGTATAGATTTGTAAGTTTCTTGACGGCAATTTTGAGAGCCCTGAAAGTACGAGCTGCCATCACTTGCATGTGGAGGTCTGTTAAATGCCAAAACAGAGGAATGATAGGGACCAGGACATCGGACTGGACTTTTTCAGTGAAAACAGAGCCTGAAAAGCCGATGCATGCCCCTAGTTGTGATCAATAAAAAGCTTTAGCAATTAATCTGGTGAAATGAACTAACCGAAGACAATGATATGGATGCATGGAATGAAAGACCGGAGCCTCGCTATCTCAATCTTCGAGTCTTCCATAAACTTGCGGTAGTACAACATCGCCTCCATGAATGGTTCGGCAGCGCCACTTCCAATCTCGTTCTTCCCCTCAATTATCATCAGCACAAACTGTCTGTTGGTAGACAAAATATGTCCGTCTGTCATACATCCTGTCGAGCTGACCATAGAAGCATTGAGTATAATACCGTAGTCACAGAGCACTTGCCGGAATGTATTCATCCGCGTGAGCTCATTGGGATAGAAGGAGGCCATCTTTTCCGAAAGTTGCAAAACAAAGTCATTATCATGGACAGTTGGTTGATGATTTTGACAATCATCCACGAACTCGGCGAAGATAGGCTCGAGAAGAGTAATGGGAACAGGGTCCGCGGCTCTGCGAGGACGATTGCAAAGGTACTCTTGCTGGTCCTGCTTTGTAGAGAATGCGGACGGTTTTGCACCGGCCGACGGAGTACCCGCGCCCTTCTTGAGATAAGCAATTCACCGATCAACAGCTGGAATGTGTCGTGCAACGGCAGGATGTCGTACGACGATATGAATACATCCACACTCTATTCCATCCACAAACACAGCGGACAGCTTGGTTAACGGGTGCAGCTCGATGCCTCCGTCTATGATCGCGTTGTGTAAGTGTATATCGTTCAAATTGATCTTGACCTTCCAAAATATCAGATTATTAACATTCAATCATAGGCATCAGATCACTCACCTTCCATAGCTTAAGATGGTCAGCGGCAACATGGTCAAACTCTGGCTTCTTCGCGACCTTGATAACATTTTTGAGGTCACCAACAGTCTTCGTCCGCTCAACGTCGACTGGGAAAATATGGTGAGAATCATCGCCGAAGACTATGCAGTTAAGTTTCAGGTGGAGCGGTCCGGAAGACACTAAGTCAGACCACAATCAGTGAGGAAAGGGTGGCAATATTGAAGGACAACTCACCGGCAGGCGGGCATTGGATAATAATATGCAGATACTTGTGCGGAGGAGCATTGAAAAAAATCTCGACCATTTCATCCACAGGTGATAGGGATTTCATTGGGTCAAGTGTAAGATTGTTGAGATTGTGCTCAATCGTCTCGTTGATGGGCAGGTCGACCTTCCAAAATATCAGATTATCAACAGCCAATCGTAGGCATCAGATCACTAACCTTCCATATATCAAGACGGTCAGCGTCAACACTCTCAAATTGTCGCTTTTTCTTGTCTTTGATGACCTCTCTGAGCACACCAACGGTCTTCGTCCGCTCAATGTCGACTGGGAAAATATGGCGAGGATCATCGCCCAAGACAATGCAGTTGAGGTTCAGGCGGAGCGGTCCAGACATCTGACGTTGACAACAAGAGTGATAGTGTCTCGAGTGGTGACTGCAGTGAGTGCTCACTGCTGCAGCAACACCCCGTGACCGGGAAATTGATTTTCTGTGAGAATACATTGTGCCTGGGAAATTTTGTCCCTTTCCGGGTATCCGATGGACCATTTATGGGCGAGAAGTGGATTAAGGCCTGTTGTGGTGCATCTGTTGTCGCAATCAGAGGTAGTTTGCATGCACCGCAACAGGCCTTAATCCACTTCTCACCCATAAATGGTGCATAGGATACCCGGAAAGGGGTAAAATGGTCTATGACGAAATTGTCTAGGCACAGTAGGCCTTAATCCACTTCTCACCCATGAATGGTGCATCAGATACCCAGAAAGGGGTAAAACGGTCTATGACGAAATTTCCATAGGCACAGCAGGCCTTAATCCACTTCTCACCCATAAATGGTGCGTCGGATACCCAGACAGCCGTACAGGATCTTCCAGAAGCAATGGTGGATCGGCTATTCGTGATGTAGATCCACTGGGTTTAGCCTATGGTAGCGGTGGTTGTTCTCTACAACAGCCTTACACCCGGTCCACATATCTGACTCTCCACAGTTGTCGGAATGCCCACAACTGAAGGGTTCAAATAAAACCCGGCCGCTGTAAGACATTTTCCCATACAACGATTCCCTACCAACTTGGATCCTCAAGATGCAGCATCTGCGACCGCTGTCCTATCAGCAACGGACCCCATTATGCCATCGGCTCTTCCATCCGGTAAATCCCTCGACAATCTGATTGGTGCGAGGGCGACGGAACCAGAGCTTGTATCACCAGCACCAGACACAATGGCTGCGCGTGCGCAAACTCCGCCCCACCTCCCCATCAAACATAATATCTTTGTGGCGGGTGCCAAGAAGAAACCCGGAAATGCAGCGCCACAGGTCAGCAATTATCGCAGATGGACCCAAGTCGGAAGAGGAAGAAGAAGTTCCAATTGACTGACGAGGACAAAGTTCACACCGGAACTATCTTGGTAAACGTATGTTCGATGATGTTTGCATATGAATCCTGAACTCAATTGTGCTCCCACCGTCCAAGGCAGCGTCAGACAAAGATTTAAATCTGGCGGGTATAGACTCTGCAGCCCATGACAGGAATTTCCGGGAGGAAGAGACAAGGGTGCATTATCGGCTCTCTGAATGATATGGTAAAGTGAATTTCCACTGGGATGAACGTGCCAGCATTGAACTGATTGCTTATCAAGTTTGTATTGGCGGAGCGTGTCAGAATGTATCGCACATCTGGACAGCTGCATTTCCAAGGTAGTGCACCGAAAGTTGACAAGATAGTATGTCGCACCGGATCCTCATGAGCGACTCATCCGAAACTATGGACATGCATTCTGTCAGCTTCTGAAGAGTTTGATAATCATCCCCATCGGGACATCGATGTACATGTTGGTGCTCTGGCCGGTAGAACATCCTGTCGTAGTGAACCGGCAAATGCAATCTGAGGATCATCTACCGAATGTGTCATGAAAGTCAAATAAACATCATATCTAAGTGAAAATTTGACTAAGGAAAACAAAGACAACCCTATAAAATATCATGAAGTATCATTATGTCCATCTGCATATGACGAAGGCCTATTTCTCGGATATGACCGATGGTGCATTTAAGAATCGAGAAGATGCGACGCAAAATGTCACATGAGCCATATTGTCCGTCTGTTTGAAGGCGACATCGACCAAAAATGAACTACAATGTGCGGTACCGAATGAAATCTGCCTGATTGTATTGGGCTAGGTGGTATATCGCAAAGTCCACGAGATTATATTTTGCATACTCTGTACGCGGGGTCCAAGCATAATTATGCACGCTATCGCACATAAACCAAGCCCAGACGATTCTGTCTCCCTCGGCAACTTGAACGCCGTGCCTCACGAGCCGGCCAGAATAGCCAACCATAACACCCGGATCATAAGCGAGCTCGATGCCCAAGTTGGTCAATTGCATTACACCATGGCCATAGCTGCCTATGCAAGTAAGGATATCGAAACCTTCCGGGGGGCATTTCGGATCTTGATGGCTCAGCGACTTCCTGTTACACATGATTGCCGCTCCCGTGTAGATGGATGTCCAATGTTGAAGGAACCTGCACATATCATCCAGTCCTTGCTTGGCCACCCAATGCCCAAGCTCTACATGAGTGGATATAGATGCACGGTATAACTGCGGGTGCATTACACGAAGGGCGGCCGAAGATACGAGACCTGGACGTTGCATATCTCTGATGACCAACAGGCTCCTGTTGCCCTTCAAGGTAGCGGAGACTTCGGGCATAAAGCCATCTTCCGGGTTCACAGGCGGGGGCCCATGACGCTGTTTGATGTTAGACATTTCCTGAGTACAGAAAATTCAAACAGACCTCGTGTCCCTGTTGAAACCAGCAAGGCGATATATTGATGCACCCGGGCTTTAACTGCGGCTCTTGGGAGGCATAAAAATTGGTTGCGTGGGTTCTCCATTTACTCGCCTGTCCCGTGGACGTCTTCCCACTGGTGATGCTCTGTTTCAATAGATTGCCCATCCCGATTGTGGCGGTGTACATATCACGCTACGTCCTCCCCATTAGCATTATGCAGCTTCAGTGCAATCCCGCACTGACCTGCACCGACCAGTTAAGCGCACCCAGAAGGTACCAGAGTATTATCCAATAGCCAGCATCAATCACAACTGACGGGTGTTCCAACACCAGGCGCTCAGCGGGGGGAAACTTCGCCAATAATGCTTCTTCGTGTGAATCATTCAGTCCCAACTCCCGTTTGGCCAACACCTCGTTGTACCGGATGACATCGATATCCAGTTTTACTACAAACATTACAATCTGCTGACACCAAACATGTACGGTTTAGCCTACCGGGGTGTTGATAGGCCTCTGCCAGCACAGAGGCCAACTGTCCGCAAGCAACCATAGTTTCCGGGTCAAGTTCCAGCAGCGCGGGCACCAGCGGTCTGCCTGCGATATGGGCTGCAAACTGCTGCTCAACCCATTCACTTGCTATATCGGCGACATTAAGGGCCCAATCCCGGGGGATGAACGATGTCGGATGACAGGCGAGGTCAAGGGCACCAAGCTGTTTATGGTAGGATTCCCAGTACTCATGCGATATCATTATGGAAAGGGAGATGCGCAGGTCTTGTTCAAGAAAACGTGCATCTTAAATACAATTTGCCATGCGGCAGCCATCTTGGTGATGTAACACAGTGAGCCGAGATGCAACTTTATGAATGTAATTGATCAAACCCACACATGTCTCATATAACCGGATGGGATTATCGTTGGCAGGATATTGACATATGGAAGAGAGACACTACATTAAAATATGCTAATGGAGAAGTTGTTCCTCGACGACTGTACATAATATCAATGCGGAAGTAATTAAAGATAGGGAAAGGGTTCAACAGATGAAGGTCCTCCCTGCCTGCCATTGTCGTAATGCCCTTGCAACATTGCAACTGCTGTGTGGGAGGCTACCATTGCCTCGCGAAGTTCATCTACAGGATCCTCTAGATGATCTAATGCAGCCACAGCCTCCCTTGTGGCATCCAGCTTAGTAACAAGGAGTCGGCTGAGTTCCATACCAAGACGGGAAACTTCGGCCCGGAGAACCTGCAGCTGTTGCAGGAGTGGATCATCGCTGCGGGCGTGCGTAATTGGTGTCGGCACCATGCTGGCCATTTTAGGCTAATGCATGAATGTAGTAAGAAATACTGATGACATCATAATCTGAAAAAAAAAAATCACTCACCCACTGAGCAAAGTGGCCGGTCACCAGCTCCTTCACTGTAGCAACGGACATCCGAAGAGGCATATCGAACGGTGCAAGGTCGAACCTGTGCTTCCACCAAGCATGGCGATAGTCACGGACCACCCGATTGACGTCGACTGGATGGGTTGCCGACTCATGCGGGCATGCCTTGAATGTGGCAAACAATTTCCTGTGATCGTAGTACGGCTCGGTCTGGAAAGATGTGATGAGCAAGATAACCTCATTCAGATATGCCGGCAGTGTCGTGTTGATATTCATGGCTGCGCAGATGTTGACAAAGGGAAATACAAAGCGCTACCAGTGCCTATTAGTAAATCTCTCCAGGGACGATTGCATAAACTCACCTCCGCTTCCCAGACGATGTGTCTCACGAATGTGTGCTGATATGAGCTGGAGTGGTGGTTTTTATATTTCATTAATTCAATATGAATTACGGTAAATCGGGAAGTGGCGTATTCGAATATTTCCGCTGCATCCCAGATAGAAAATTTACTGGCAGCAGACTTATGGAGCATTTGGTAATGATCAGTCATGACTGGTTGCGGTGGGGTGATAGATAAAGTCAGCTCAGACACTGTTTAATTATACGGTCGGAGCTTCAAAAGTATTATTGTGGTGATTTACAATAACAAGCTCAATCCGGTAATGTGGCCACAAGTAATCATAAGCTGTGACCCAATTCTCGATGCCACATATCCCAAACAATGTCATTGGCTAAATTGTGGGGATTGTGGATCACAAATGTGGTAAATGGACCATATTGCGTTGTTTTTCTTTTGAATTTGATGAGTCAATGAACAGTGTCATGTGCTCAGATATATAGAAAATTGACTGGAGGGTGGACTTCGCCTCACAAAGCTTGGCTAGGCATGTGAGGCATGTTCTTGGTGAATGCGTCCGTGTCGAAGTGTGTGACTGGTAAAAGTGCTTCTGCCCACATGATGCCTTTTTGCTTGACCAATTGATCCTATAAACTGCATGCTCCGACAATTGACTCGGAATGCAACTCAGATTATTACGTCAGGATACCGGAACCACGGTAGCGTCACATTTCGCCGCCCACAGGAGTTCTGATCCACCACAGAGGTGGTTGCCATCAGATTGCTGTTCTCCATCCGGAGATGAGTACATCATGAGCCTCCAGGTTTCCCGGATGTGTCCGACACTTCGAAGACCATATATTCTGTGAAGTGACACAATAGTTGCTTGTGACTGGGCCCAAAAAGCCACCATTAAGAGCAATGCAGATAAATTTGAGCTCAGAATTGAGGACGGAAAGCACACATTTAGAATTGTGTGTCTGGTAAGCAAGCAAGGATTTTAATTGGTCCACAGGATGGATTGGGAATGTGAATGCCGGAGCACAAGTTTGTGGCCGGTATAATACCTGGCTGCCACCTACATACAACTACATATTATATCTTCCCTGCTAGCATGATGGGTCATCACGAAGTACTTCCGAGTTCACCCCTCCATGTATGATGCAAGATGATATCGGATAAATATGCACAGGTGCCATACGGCAGGTATCCCGGTCGTTTGCGCCCACAAGAGGGTGTACTCATTATGCAGCTTGCAGCCGCATCAAATGTAGTCCCGATGTGCTTCTCGGTAGAATCAATATATATACAATTTGTGCATGCTCATATACCCACTTTCATTCAAAATAAAGTAGTACTATTAATTTACACATATTGACATGTCGGAGGGATGAGCTGCACATACATGAAGGGAGTCCATCGGATGCATTCTATGTAGCTAGTCAGTATTTGAAGTCATCCGACATTTTCTATCTATCCTAGGATTCCAAAGATTTCCACCGGGCATCAGATTCATTGAGCTGTTGCTCTAACCTGTCCAACCTCTTGAGCAGGTTCATCTCCATTGAATCCACTCTGACCTCCAATGCATCCACCCGCTCAGTGGCGGCGAGGAGATCTAATCTCCTGCCCAGGTCCTGGATGCCCTGTAAGATTTCTCTTGCAGTGGGCTCTGGTTCCAGCAGGTTGGTGGGCGCAAGCTTTATCTCTTCTTCCGGAGAAGCTACATGAGCTAAACTCGTTCCGAGGAGACAGGAAGACATACCTTTATGTTGAACAATGCTCCGTTGCGAGCGAGAAACACGCTTCACGGGTGCTTTAGAGACGGCTCGGGATTTCGAAGCCTGTGGTTGTTTGAGCGGGGAGGAGGATGCTGTTGCTGCCTTCGCTTGCAACCTCTGCCGGACACCAACGCCGTCAATTGCACAGGCGATCTTCATGCTGTCACAATTTTCACAGGCGAGGTGCATGTATCCAAATTTCTTGTCGGGGAGGACAAGGCAGGCAATGTCCAATTTGGCACATTTGTCGCATTGCCGGGGGTGATAGCGAACGGAATGCTTTGAATTTATCAGCTTGTGTTCAACACCATGCAGAAATGACATACCTTCCATGGTGTAGCGATATCTTCATCCAAACCCAATTCCGTCTTGGAAATGGTTTTTGATGTGATCTTCCTTTTCTTGACCGGCTCTTCAGATGGGGAAGGCAACTTGGTCTTGGCAACTGTGACGACGGTGTCCGTGTCTTTGTCTGCAGCCTTTCTCTTCTTTGTACTGGCCACAAAGAGGTTGTATTGTGTCGGCGGAGCGGCGGGAGTGTCAATTGGAATGGGAGGGCCCTCGGCCTTTTCCTTCCCAAGGTCCGATGTTCCTTTCAGTTCCGGTTCCGGCCCAGCAAGGATATCGGACTCCGTGAGGGATGGTTTGGATGGTGAGGCCAACATAGATGGCGGGATGGCGGCGGTTGCCATTGTGGGGACAGTAGGGGGATTGGCGGTTGCCGTTGCAAGGACAGCAGGGGGATTGGCGGTTGCTGTGGTGGCGATGACAAGATCATCGAGTGAGGAAGGTGGAAGATAATCCACAGTCTTATCAAAGTGCGGGTGGCTCTTGATGCGCGGGTCGTCGTCTGTAACGGAGGTCCAGTCGGGGACACTCTCAAAGGCGCCACCCTTTGAGTTCTCTCTCACAACAGCAGCAAAAGAAAGCAGCTTCGGTGAGAATGATGTGGCGTTCCCGCCATACATCTTCAAGTCCTTGGCCTGGGTTCAATGCATGAGTTTCACCCAGACAAATAAGGGCAAGATCAGAAAGACTTACCACACGCCGGGCAATCTCATCAGATAACCATAAGGCCTCGGGATCGCCCTCCTTTACCTTGATGCAATGCTTCATGAGCGATTGCAGGGCGGCCAAGGTAATGTTCAAGGCGTGGTTAGCTTGCTCAGGAGGTACGGTCATGATTCTTTCTTGAAGCAAAGATATGGTAGTGATGAATGTGATGAATGTGGTGGAGGCAAATTGACTTTGTGAAATTCTGACAAGTCTGTATTGACATGGATCAGGTTGTGGATATTTCTTGAAATTTGTGGTTTGTGGATGCGAAAATGTGGACCGAGAGTAACAGTATTGTGTCCATGGGTGGTTCCGCAATTGTCCCATGCATTTGTGCCCAAGAATCCGTCCACAACAGTTGGGATGGACTATTTGCAATGTACCACTGGCAAAGCGATGGGCAGTAATAGCATGTGGGACGGAGGTAACAGCAGTTCATGTACGAGCGGTTGGATTGTTGTACATAAGCCTTTCAACCGAAAAAACATGCGCCCATGCTCTCGTTCATTTCATTTGTGGTTTCTCCGGAGAAAGGTGATACGGAATATCATGGTTTTGTCATATTTCAGCATTTTCATGGTTTTCAAGGTGTCATTTGGGAGACCATCCCCAAGTGCAATGTCTAGACCGACGAAGTGTTCCAGGACTGGCTCAGTACCAAGGGCGGGTGTTCATGTTTGTGGAGTCAATATGCATAATGTCTCAATCAATGTCAAAGCCCTCCAGATGTGAGTTGCAGCCTCAATTGTGAACTCATCTATCCGACTTTGCAATTTTGCCCAGCAGTTACAAATATCCAAGGTTTGATTCTCAGCGGGGCGCGTCCCCATCTTTCTAATACCCATACTAATTGTTATCCTCTCTTAGATGGTAACGCCCGCTGTAATCCATGTAACAGCACCGCGTGATGTATTCCCTCCCAAACAGCCAGCTCTGATGGCCTCTGCGTTAATGCTACGGAAGGTGAATAAGTATAATCCGGTGGATTGTGTAGGTAGCAGAGACTTTACCTTCCATAACTGTGCCTCGATCATCTCTTTGGCAGGTTGATGGGCGAATCAATATATAAGCTAGCTCTTCTGTCATGTACTTTCCTTTGCTTGACCAACTCTGAATCATTGGGCTCTTTCAGGTTGTCAAAGATGGTGATGCGTAGACATCTCCCTTGTAGAGGGACGGATACCGATAAGATATTTGGAGGCGCCCGCAATGTCTTGGTGATATCTCCGTCGATCACCGCTGCCTCCATGATAGAGCTTGATGCCTACTGAACATGCATATGCCGGATGCCGATTCCTGGTCAGAGGTTGAAGTCCAGGCCCATGGTTACACGAAGCCAGAAATGCTTATACATCTGACTTCTGGCGCTTGCATCCAGTCTGTAGATCTGGTCCTCATCAATATTGTTTGTAGGGTAATATATCTGAGTGCTACTAGCCCATTCTTTACATGAATTGATGATACACTTCCACACTATTCCTGAAATTCAGTGTTGTCTTAGTGCTCTTGCCGATGACCCTCCTGAATATTTGTGATCATGGCATCCGGCGGTTCCATTACGCGGCGCTGGATGCCCAGCAAACGGTGCATTTGAACTACATCTTCAGATGGTTGTGTCACCCTGTATCGCCCTTCTGCATATGAACTGAACAGCTTCCGTTTGACCATACATGCAGGTGTTGGAAGTGGGTCACACCGGAAAGTGTGATTTAGCATTACCATATCACCAATATCGCCATTACATGTCGTAAATAAATGTTATTGGTAAGTGTTGTGCAAGTTAGCGAGACTCATAGAGATCATCCGCGATATCGTTCACCAGACCGCACGGTGGATTGACTGCCCGGCTTCCTCGAATGCATTGAGTTGGAATGCACTACTCAAAGATAATGAACGCGCTGTATCATGAGCGAACACAACCAACATATTTATCCAGATACATTCATATCTGGGTGATAACGTCGGGCCAATCACAAATGGTTGGATCAGCTGGACTTCGGGGATGGTTATTGGGGCGGGAGCTATTACATGATTAGCGAGACAAACAGAGTGTGAGGAACATACTTGCGCCCTCAAGATAATGTGATGTCGATAATAATCAGTCCATACAACATAGTCTTCCGATCGTTGTCATCATCAACACTGTCCCAAACTTTATAAAAAAGGTTTCTGGCATCCGCGCCCTTGGATACACCGCCAGCATCCATCAAGTCACTCTGTGCACAAGTGCAAGGATCTTCCAATGCGGTGATGGGCACCGATTCGTCATCTGTCCGATCCTTCCATCCGCAGCCATAAGTACATCCTGGATCCTTGTCACTGGGCACAGCATTGGTATTTGTCGATTTGTCCGATCTGCAATCGTAACGGTCTTCATGTGAGGTGCTCAAGGTGACCCTGATACCAGCAGAACCTTTTTCACTGCGATTCTCCCATTCGCAGTCTTTGGATATTGTTGGTCTATGGCATTCATCGTTGTGGCTAAGCTATAGGCATATATATTATCACTGTATCCGGAATCCCACGGATCGTCTTCACCTCCCAGAATTTGGTCATTTTACATGGGCTCCTACTATGTACAGTCGTATGTCTTTCTTTTCTCTTGCAGATGGGCCTGAAGCCAAATTTTCAGCATCCATGGAATCATCCTACCCGCAGTCACAAGGATCCGATGGCCCGGCGACATCATTTATGTCTCTAGAGCTAGTTCGCTCTATCCGAGTTATTTGTGAGGCTCTGACCTCCATCTGGCTGTAAATCTTGATGTTCACAGTTAAATGGTCCCACGAAGCCGATGCCGCCCTCCTCTAAGATATCAATGTCAGAAACGATCCAGAATGTGCATATCCCGCGACTGATGAAGCAGCCGTTGCTGCGAAGTCATGTCCATGAACATGTGAAGGGCGAAGATATTTTTATGAATTGATTAAAATATATGGAGGGTAGGCCGAAATCATACAAACCGCCAGCATGTGTGACTTTGTCAAATTTTTTGTCAAAGCATGGGTCACATCCTGCCATACCAGGTGCATTCAGCAACATTTGTCGAGTCAGGGATCACGGACTTATGTCTCTGATTGCCAAATGACTGTATGCTTGCTCATGACTCCGCCGCACATCCGCCTATTTATATCCTGCATGGGAGTTCCTAGCATACCTGGATTGGAAAAGTCTCAGGCAGACTTACATTTGAATCTTGGCATTACTTACTGCTTGGGTGGAATCTCAATGTTTGTCCAACTGTTGGAGTCGGAAAAACTGCCATAGCGAGTATGGCAATTAGGACACCTGTAAGCATTTTTCACCGAGTCACCGGAATCCGAACACGTGGGTGCAGTAAAACAAACATGTTTGCCTACCATGAATATTTCGTTTGAAATAAGAAATTTGGGGAACACTTACCACGCGCAAAGGTATGCTTCGATAATTGGACAACCCAGCCGTGGCAACCGAATGCGTGGGACAACGATCGCCGAAGAAGCCGTATTACGTTATAGTTTTTATTGATTGACCGTGATGAGCCAGACTGCCAAGTTGCCACAACGGCCATGCGTTCTCGGAAAGACCCATTACCGACATATCGGTATAAATCCCGAGACTTGATAAAAATCATTGAACCCATCTTTTTTCATCGTCAGTTGCTCACTACACTTCGTATGTCTTGATAATGACACCTTCGGAAATTGCAAACGAAGCCCTCAACTCCACTCTTGAGGCTGTGCAACCGCTCATGAAGCACTGTATGAAAGTGAAGGAAAGTGACCCAACCGCATTGATATTCTCCGATGAGATTGCCAGACGGGTGGTAAGCCTCACTGCCAACGATTGTAAAATGTATTTTTTTTGGATAACTAACTCAATGTGGCGCAGGCAAAAGATTTGAAGCTTTATGGGGGCGCCGCCACATCGTTCTCCCCTCAGCTGCTGTCTTGTGCAGCCGTAATACGGCAGCATTCAAAAGCTGGGGCATTTGTATCATTGCCTGACTGGAACTCTGTGGTGGACAACGACCCACGCATTAAGACACACCCACGGTTCCACAAGACTGTAGGCTATCGTCCTCCACCCCCCGCATATCCGGATGCAGAACCGGAACCCAGCATGTCGTCATCCACTGTCCCGGCAGAGCCAAATTCAATGAGAGGGACCCTTGTAATTGCATCAAAGGCCCCAGACCTCATTCAGTCGCTCTATGTTGTCCCGGAGGTGCAACCAAGCATATCTGAGTTGCTACCTCCTGCTGCACTGGTTGCGGAACCTCTCATATCAGGTGTACGAGGTACTGCAACCCACATGCTCAATCCAGAACCAACACCCCCGTGTTCCATCTCAATCGCTCCCGTGACAGTCGGACGAAATGTTAATGGAAATATAAGAACGGTACGGCAGGGCAATACACCGACCTGCCAGCCGCAGAAAAGGAAACTGGAAACAGACGGCAGCGAACCCGAACCAAGTTCGGTACCCCGGAAGCTGGTTGAGAAATGAAAGAGAAAGTTTGCGTCGGATGAAGAGGGGAATGGTGCCACTGGCACCATTCATGTGAAGGTGATATTCAGAGCATTACTTTGTTTGTTGCTAATGTAAGTTCATGCAGCAGAGGGCGTTGTCTGTGACAGCCCGCAAAGCTCGCACACAGACGTCTCCATCCGAAATTGTGGACGAGAGAGGTTTTTGGGATGCAGAATCCAGGGTGAGTCATATATGTGGCTGGAGTTACCATCTCACTTTGGTTTATCCAGCCGGTCGGATGGGGTCTAGATGCCACAGTTGCTACGGCAGTAGAGGTAGGCAAGCAATTGCATTTGATTGCATATCGCCTCACATATTCCAGCATTCCGTTCGCTATCATCCTCAGAAATGCGACAAATGCATTAAAATGGATGTGCAATGCATTGTATTGCCGGACAAGAAGTTTGGGTGTATGAGACTCGCCTGCGCAAACTGCGATGAGATGAAGATTACCTGCGCCATCGACGGGGTTGGTATCCGGCAGAGGCTGCAAGCAAAGGCGCACAAAGCTGTGATGAAAACCGGTGTCGATCCAGAAGTCAAACGTTCCAGGACGCATGCACCCAAGTCGCGCACTGCTGTCAAAATACCTGTCTTATCAGCTCCTCCGAAAACAGCTAAACTGTCCAGACGTTCATCCTCCCTTGCCCCGAAGAAAGTTGTGTTTGAGAACCCACCGATTAGTAAGCTCAATCATCATATGGTGCAGAGATGCTCATGGAGTATTTTGATAACATACTTAGAGGTCGGGCAAGAACCTGAGGACATGATGCCGGATGATGCGAACATGAGGGCATCACGTAATATGCAGTCATTCAGATCTCTACAACTCCCACCGGTCGACATGCCAGCACCGCTCATATCTTCCATGACACCCACCCCCTTAGAGCCTGAACCCACCGCAAGAGACATATTGCAAAGCATACACGACCTCGGTAGGAGATTCGATCTCCTGGCAAATGACGAGCGGGTGGATGCTTTGCATGTGAGGGTAGATTCAGTGAAGTGGAGGATTAGTTTGAAGCTAACGGCGCTGGAGGAACGGTTCTCCATATCTAATGCGCATCAGGAGTAAGTATCACGGTCGATAGGTAATCAGTCGATGTCCTTACGGGTGCGCAGAAACTATCATTATGCGCATGGCCCTCACGCACACCATACCGCATATGCACCCCAGTACCTCCCGGAACCAACCATTGCATCGTGGCCGAAACACAATCACGCCGGCGATGAACCCCCGGGTATCTCCACCATAGGCAGAGAGTACACCCATGCATGGGATCTGCAAGACAAAGCCCAGACTTCGACATCTGGTTGGCGGCAGACCAACTCCCTGGATCCTCCTTATATATGCGAGGCTTCGATTGCATCTTCTCCATTGTCCAGCACGTCGCCCGTCAAATCAGAGGAGTAGATTGAGTTCATGGTGCTCCCTTGATTGTGATTTCGCTATGGCATGAATGTTACCTTACTTTCCTTACAATTTTGGTAAATGAGGCAGGTTGAATTTTGTATGGTACCAAATGTAGAAATGCGATCTCCGTGATCGGACGAAAACTTCAATCTGTGAATGTGCTTGGAATATGTGACTTTGACTATTTAGCGGACAAGGCTCGAAGACAACGGCGCAATAGAAGACAGAGTTCGAACGAAAGCGACAGGAGCAAAGTCTCCAATTCAGGGGTTCACACAACTCTGCCCTAACATTATGACTAGGTACTGTACTCAAGGTCTACTGGGACAGCCGATATCGGACAGTAAGGTAATCAGGAGGGGCTGGAAGTATCAGGGTAACATATGGTTCAGCCAACGAGAAACAGATAACTATGAAACCGGTAAGTAAATGCATTCATAGAGTCAGGCAGAAACAATACTGGCGAGGAAAAGAGAACCGGGAGCTGTAATAGAACGTTTGCGTTACAGAATATGCAACAGGCTTGTATAGGAAAATGGACTATCACCGAAGTGTCCATCTCCACAGCAAAGGGTGTGCTGCCGGAAGGTTTTGACGTAAATCATGGCGCCTGCGTCTGTTACAAACTAGGATAGTTCTAACAACGACAACTCGACAGAGCTTTTGGTCGTTGAGATTCTCAGTCTCTCAGACAAGAGAGAGTTCGGTGGACTTAGTTAAAGGAGTGCTTTAACTAAGAATCAAGTTTCTAGACGACTTAAGATTGGAGATCTTAAGCGAAGGATATTCCAGGTAAAACCTAGTAAGATTCAAGTAAAGAATATAGGCGTAATACATGTGCTTAAATAGATCCATATGTGCGCACAGACCGAGTCATCGTGAGATAGTAAGTACAAGTTCAAGAAAGGAAGGCATATCGAAGAAGTGTAAAAAGTATAAGGCAATCGGTAATAAGCGGTTGTAACATTACCCCCTTACTAAGCGTGAAGTCACCGACTTTACTCATAATCCTGATATTCGCAAGTGGTTAGAGTCGTCCTGGTTTGCCCAATAGATAGGGTCATCGGAATACTCAAGCTGATCATCCTCCTCCAGTAAGGTACTCCGCCTGTCGGAGAGCTTCTTCTTCCTGGCACTGGCTGACGTACGCGTCGTCTAGACTTTTCTCCCAATGAGAGAGTTCTTGGTAGAATCCTTCGTCCTTCCAAGTGAGCGTAGTGGGGGAGCTTCCAGTGAATTTGTGGCAATATAAAGATAGGTGTCCGGGGAGAGTTCCCTGCATATTCTGCAATAATAATCGGGACAGTTGGTTTGGCGATGGCCAAGGGTTTTACAGTATCTGCAGACACGGTTTTCGTCTGGGTTCGAGGACGAAGGGCGTATGACGGGGGATGCACTGGACGGTGGCTGAATGCTTCATCATCACTCGAGGCTCTCTTCTTTCCCTTGCCTCGGTATCCATGCTTAGGAGACCTTTTCCTCCTTCGAGACGATTCTTTAATCTGGGCTACGTCTTCTCTAGCGAGTACGTAGACGGAGGACAATGGCATGGGGATTCGTTCTGCTTCCGCGATTAGCTCAGCGTACTCTGCAGGGGCGGTAGGTCCAAGGGCTTGTACTGGGACAAGGCAATCTACGAAGGTTGATGGGGTGAACGTAGATGGGATAGTCATTGGTGGATGGATGTGTAGCGCTTTGAGTGCTTCAGCAAGCGCGATGGTTTCGTCGGGAGGGAACTTGATTGTTCCATGGTTATCTCTTCGTGCGTAGAAGAGAAGGCGGTATAAAGGTTTTCCGGGTGCTCTACAGTTTCTTCTGGAGCAACGACCGTATCAGACGTGGTTGCGGAAGTCGTGGAGGCTAGTTGTAAGGCAAGTTGGGTCTCTTCTTGCAGGTTAATGATCATGGCGTTGGTAATCTCCGTGAGGCTGTTAACAGCAGCCAATAGCTCGTCAGACACACGAGGAGGAGGAACGGGAATTCCACCGTCATAGGAAGGTGGTGGAGTCGCAGTCGTTCGTTCAACTGGTGGTGAAGGTGGTGGGCGAGCGACTCCGGTGACTCGTTCAGCAATGATATGAATAACTTCCTGGATATCTGCCCTAACCTCCGGAGGGATAAGACGCAGAGCGTAAGCACGAATGCGTTTCTGTAAATGCATGATGCCATGTTGAACACGTGGTTCTTCCACATGTCGTACTGAGTCTCTCAATGAGTTCGGCGGATCTGATGACGTTGACGAGGAGATTGATGGAGAAGGTGTTTCGGTTGATAAGGATCTTGTTGATTTCAATGGCATGTTGGGGCAAAGGATTGCAGCTTCGATGAGGGTGAGGTCTTCGATTTCTGAGATGAAGGATTCAAATCTTCCCTCATTGGAGGATAGGTCGGTGGGGGCGAATGTGGATTCATAGGGAAGAGTGTAAGAGACTGGGAAGGACATAATGTTTTATGTTGATGGGAGATATTACAGCGAGTGTTTTCTTTTATAGATCGAAAGGGTTTCTCCGGCATTTTCCAGGTTTTCTTCCGGGATCCACTTCGTTGCTAGCGGAGGAATATCCTTTCCATGATACAAGATAACGGCGACGTTTGCTGGTACCTTTGTGAGCCAGTATAGCTTCGATTTCGTATTCTTCTTCTTCTTCTAGAATGTCAGGTGGTGGTTCCAAGAAGTTCGGACCGTGAACGTCATTTTCGCTATAGGAAGATAATAGGGAAGCATGGAACGTGGGATGTATTTTCCATTGCGGAGGCAGTTGGAGTGTGAATGTGATAGGTGATAGTACGGCGGAAATGGGAAAGGGGCCATATCTTTTCGGGGCGAGTTTCCTGGGATGGGAGTTTTAGACGGAGATTGGTTGCAGATAACCACACCTTATCGCCTACTTTCCATGGTTGGTACTTCTGGCCGAAGGATCTTTCCGCCATCCGTTGCATAGCGATGTTGTGACAGGCTATTGCTTCTTCTCTGATCTTTTGAAGAAGTCGGACTCGTTCCTCCACGGCTGGTACTGTTGAATCTGCCAAGACATGGGGAATTCCTTTAGGCTCATATCCCATCATGATGTAGAAGGGTGAAGCATTTCGGGCGTCATGCTTTCTATGATTGTGAACAAATTCTGCCATGGGAGATGTTCTACCCAATTAGTTGGGTCGTTGCTGCAGTAGATCGTAGGTATGTTTCTAATTCTTGATTGAGTCGTTCAGTCTGTCCATCAGTCTGCGGGTGATAGGCGGTGGAAGGGGCGATAGAATAATCAAGGAGTCGAGCCAATTCTACGGAGAATTTTGAGAGAAATTGGGGTCCTCGGTCGGAGATTACTTTGTCAGTGTAATCCGAAGCGTTTGAATACGTGTTTCAGGAATAGTTTTGCTACTCCTTCAGAGGTAATGTTTTTGTGGCAAGGAGTAATTATCACCCCCTTACTAAGCCCATGGTCTACCACGACCATGACAGAATCAAAACCAGAGGAAATGGGAAGATCCGTGATAAGATCGACGGAGATCTGTGAGAAGGGGCGAGTGGCAAGGGAGGAGATTGGGACGAGGGGTGGCGTAACAGGATGGGTATCGGCCTTCATTTGCTGGCAGGTGGCGCATCCTTCAACGTACTTTCGGATGAAGGCTCCCATGCCTGGCCACCATGCTTCGCGTTTGACCAATTCCTCAGTTTTAAAACGTCCGGGATGACCTGCGGTTGGGTGGTCATGGTATCGAGCCAACATAGGCTTTGCGATGATCGGGAGCAATATACGCTCGGTTTTTGTAAGGACAATATCCCTGAATCTACTTTCCAATCGCTTAGAGCGGATTTCATGGGGGGAAGACAGACACCATTGAGGGCGTCTACAGCAGTGGCGAATAGCGGGTCGCTAAGCGCATCTGAGCTGGCAAGGGTAGCGCGAAGGTCGTCATCAATGAGTCGGACAAACATGGAATCGGGAAGTAGGATGGAGTTATCGTTATCGGAGGATCCGGTATCATGATCTGATCGCCGAGAGAGGGCGTCAGGTGCAGCTAATTTAGAACCAGGGACGTGGTGTAGTTCCAGATCAAAGTTAGTGAGAAGCATCTGCCATCGTGCCTGTCGACGAGACAGGTGTTCAGCTTTCTTAAATAGAGCAAGTTCATGTGGTCCAGTGAAGACTATAATTGGGGAGGGGTGTCCTTCAAGATAATGTCGCCATTCGGTTAGCGCACGAATTATGGCAAGGAGTTCTCGGTCAAAAATAGGATAGTTTCGTTCGGCTGGATTGAATGATTGCGATAGATAGGCAGCAGGGATGGTAAACACCATTTTCGTCAGTCTGTAATAGAACCCCTCCTGTTGCTACTAAGGAAGCGTCTGTGGCAATAGCGAATTGTTTTAAGGGATCTGGGTTGCGGAGGCACGGGATGCGTGGTAAAACAGGTTTTCAACTGGTCGAACGTTTCCTGATGTTGAGCGTTCCAGGAGAAAATGGTATCCTTTTTGTTAGGTCGATAAGGGGACGGGCGATGTCCGAATAGTGAGCGACAAATGATCGGTAGAAGTTGCAAAATCCTAAAAATGATCGGACTTCTCTAACGGAAGTAGGGACGGGCCATTCCTTGATGCCGTTGGTTTTTGCTTTGTCCATTTCTACGGATCCTGGTTTAATGATCATGCCAAGAAATTCGACTTCTTGAGAGTCGAACGTGCACTTTTCTGGTTTAGGAATAGCTTCTCCGCTCTGATCTTTGCTAAGATTCGCCTCTGTTCGTTCGTGATGTTCTTCAAGTGTTTTTGAAAAGATAAGGATGTCGTCCATGTATATTACCAACCATCCTTCATTGATTTCTTGACGGAATTCATTATCCATAACTGCTTGAAAGGTGGCGGGTGAGTTGCACAGCCCGAAGAACATTACATTTGGTTCAAACAATCCGTACTCCGTGGTAAATGCGGCTTTCCAACGATCATCCGGATGGATACGGATATTGTTATATCCTGATCTAATATCCATTTTCGTGAAGAAGTTTGCCCCATGTAGTCGTTTCGATGAGAGTTGCCGGGAAGTGGAAGGGGATAAGAGTTCTTTATTGTTTGATCATTAATGCCTCGATAATCTTGACAGGGGCGAAGCTCTCCGCTTTTCTTTCCTACAAAAAAGAATCCACTGGCTTGCGGGGATTTTGACGGGGTGATGAAACCTTTTTCCACGTTTTCGTCAATAAGTTTCTTCACCGCAAGCCTTTCTTTTGGTGAGAGAGGGTACACTTTAGACGTTCTTGGAAGAAATCCAGGTTTTGTTTCTATGCGATGGTCTATTCCTGGTCGTTCCGGGGGAAGTTGTTTCAGTCCATCTTTGGCAAATACATCCGCGTAATCATGGAGATAAGCGAGCACGAGTTCTTCAAACGGTTTCTTCTGTTTTTCTTTTTCTTCCGTTGCAAATTCTTGCGCCTTGTTACTGAATTTAAGAGGGGTGATGATCGGGACTTGTTCCGAAAAGGATGTTCCATCCTTTGTGAGAGGAGTATCGAGCGAGATTTCTTGTATAATTCGAACGAATTCTCCATCTGTACCGTATTCAACCAAGAATTCTCCGTCATCTAGTTCATAGGTGGAGACGTCTTGCACTGGTGGAGCGCACCAAACATCTTCCAGAGTGTCAAAAAGATCATCATCCTCCGTTGGTAGTAACAGTGGTACTTCTTCGGGGATTTCTTCGATGGAGGTGGAGAACTTGGATGGTTGTTTCTTTAGTTTGGAGTTTGTCCATTTTCTTCGTTCTGGAGGGGTGCTAAGTTTTCGGATTCTTTCCGAAATTTCGATAGATTTTGGGGTACAAGGAAGTGAGAGGGTTCGTTCTGCCCAGTTGATAGAAGGATTCATCTTTTGGAGCCACGGGATTCCCAAGAGAATCTGATCTCGTTTTCCTAAATTGGTAATGTTGAATTTTCCTATCATGGTTCTTTCATCAATTTTGACGATGAGGGTGCAGTACCGATCTACGGGTCCACTGCTGAAATAGCTTCCATCTGCGGTTCGGATATTGAATGGTTTTTTCAGTTTTTGGGTTCTTATCCCGAGCTTTTTCACAAAGCTTTCGGAGATATAGGTTCCAGAAGCGCCGGAATCGATTACCGCGTTTGTTTCGACATTTTCCTGTTTCCGAGATATGAGAGTAATGGGAATGCAAAATTCTTTTTTATCATTGACAGCTCGTATCAAATGTACAGGTTCTATCGGAGATTCCATTGTCGATATGTTTCTCCGTTTCAAAAATCCTCTTGAATGCGCCTAGTTTCTTCTTCCTCTTCTTCTACTTTGCGGACAAAGGGGGGTCCCTTTTTCTTCTGCGGGCATTCCCGAGCACGGTGTCCGATCTGGTGGCACGTGAAGCATTTTCCAACACGCATGTGTTCTTGGCGACTTTCATCCGTGAGTCGATCAATTACCATAGCATCGCGGTCTCTTGTGGGTACAAATCTTTGATCCCCAAATCTTTTCTTCTTCTGTTGGACAGGGAAGCGGGACCTAATGGACTGTAATTGCGTGTGGCAATTATCGATGTCGACTACTGCGGCGATGTAGTCGTCAAAGTTCTTTGGGACGTTTCCTGCATTAAACATTTTGATAAGGATTCCTATATTGAGTCCTTGCTGGAAGTGAAAGATTTTGGCGGTTTCTTCTTTGACTTTTGCTTGAGCGATCAGCCTTTGATAGTCAGCGATGTAAGTCTGGAGATCTCCGGTTTGTTTGAGAGCTCCTAGCTTGGTCATTGCTGTTCTGGAAGGATCGATTGCGGAGAATGCTTTATTAAAAGCTTCTAAGAAATCTTTCATGGTACCATATCCTTTCTTCTGTCCGGAAGTGTCAATGAATTGAGCATCTTCCAGAAATTCTTCTTTCCATAGTCTAGCGTTTCCTTCATTCATAAACGATGTGATGAAGATGATGCGATGTTTGTCTTCTTTGTAGAGTTTGTTGTTGATATCCATGTAGGCGTTACAGGATAGGAGGAATGATCTGGACAGGTCCCTATCTCCATTGAATATGGGAGGGTGGTTTATTTTGTATTCGAATTCTTTGCCGCTAGTGTTTGATGTTGACATATTGAGCGGGGGTACTGGAGTACCGAGGTTCAAGGCCTGTAGTCTTGGGGTGAGTGATGTCAGGTCTGCTGTCTGCGCTGGCTGTCTTGCTCAGCAGTTCTTCGGTTCGTTTTCTTTGTTCTGTTGGTATCGGACACACACAGATGTGTGGTGTCTTTCGACTTGAATCTTTTGTTACGAACTAGGATAGTTCTAACGACGACAACTCGACAGAGCTTTTGGTCGTTGAGATTCTCAGTCTCTCAGACAAGAGAGAGTTCGGTGGACTTAGTTAAAGGAGTGCTTTAACTAAGAATCAAGTTTCTAGACGACTTAAGATTGGAGATCTTAAGCGAAGGATATTCCAGGTAAAACCTAGTAAGATTCAAGTAAAGAATATAGGCGTAATACATGTGCTTAAATAGATCCATATGTGCGCACAGACCGAGTCATCGTGAGATAGTAAGTACAAGTTCAAGAAAGGAAGGCATATCGAAGAAGTGTAAAAAGTATAAGGCAATCGGTAATAAGCGGTTGTAACAGCGTCCCGGTGGGAATTCAGCTGGTCGGTTGTTCTGTAGATGTCATGGGGTCGGATGTCATGTACATAGTATATTGTACACGAACCGACTAATAGGTATAGTGCCAATGCAGCTGCACAGATGTTTCAGATGTTCTCGGGCACTACCCAGGCCTGAGTGCAGTTTGCTGTTGGTTAAGCATCACGAGATGTCCTGCAGCATATGGGTCATCAACGGTGGATCCGAGAGGCTGGTGATAAATACGATAGCTACCGGACAGCATGCTTGCTTTTCACAAAAAAATCTCGTGTAAAACATTTCTCATGTCCTGCTGTACTGAGCTAATTATTACCGCATGTTGTTCCAGATATTGGAAACTTCTGCTGAGCAATCACTGTTCCGCTCGAGGATTTCTGGAAGCTCATTTGCTACCTTCGATGATGTTCCCCGATGCGTTTCACACCCTTACATTTCACTCGGGAGTTTACGATGATAATTGAACAAATGTATGTCACCACTCAATTGCATCCTTTGTTCTGTGAATGGTATGCTGCTGTTTCGGATTTGCTGGCTGTATTGTTACCATCGGCAGAGAAACTGAAGGTGGCATCATCCACACCCGCATGCAGGAGGGTAACAAAAATACATCTATTAGATTATGAAAGTAACATTGTAAGGTGTTGTGTGTTAATTGCTCGACCACAGGCGTGGCAACCAAATACATCCGACAATGGTAGCGACAGCCATGGTATTACGTCATAATGCAATTACACCGAGTCTACATTACCGTGCTTTCACAAAGCACTCTTTCTCGGAAACATCCACAACCGACGATCTTTATATAAATTCCAACACTTGTGCAAATTCTTTGCATCACCTTTCTTTCCTTGCCGTGTAGTTACATCTAACAAACTGGCATTTTTTAACACCGCTATGACGCCTGAAGCAGCGAATGATGCACTCAACATCACGCTGGCGACGTTGCAATCGCTCATCAAGCGTTGCATCCATTTGAAGTAGGACGATCAAGAAGCACTGAAGTTATCGGATGAAATTGCTAGATGCGTGGTAAGTCTACTTTCGTTCACATGCATTTGATTGTTCAGATTGGCGCGGGCAAAAGACTTAAAGCTTTATGGGGGAAGTGCTACATCATTTTTTCCCCCCAGCTCTTGTCCTGTGCAGCCGTTGTGCAACAATACTCCAAGGGTGGCACCTTTCAAACTTTGCCTGACTGGAACTCTGTGGTCGACGATGATCCACGCATCAAGAGCCACCCACACTTCCACAAGACGTTGGACTACTGTCCTCTCGCTGCAGTTGGAACTCTTCCCATATTGGAGGCTCAAGCTACCGGGTCGTCATCTATTGTGCGGCCTCTCACTGTTCCAGCAGCTGTCGGTCCTTTCACGAAACAAGCTCCCGCAGTGGAAGTAGATTCGACTCCGCTGTCCCCATTGCCAACATCTCTGGAGCTGGAACCTCTGACTCCTCTGGCTCCATCAGTCGCTCCTGCTACACCTTCAACAGCTCGGCACAAGCTCTTTGTGCCAGGCAATATATCGAAAAAGGTCAAGGTTACTCTGCACCCTAGGAATGACAAGAAGAGACAGGTGGAAGAAGACGATACCGACTCGGCAGGTGCTCCCAGGTGCCCGACCAGATCACTCAAACCGAATCTCAAGAAAATCAAGAAGTTACCGTCGCATGATAGGCAAAATAAACTATGTAAAACCAGGAATGGAACTACAAAGGCAGGTCTGCTCACCGTTGCTCATACATCACCGATGCATCTGGTCGCTGACATTGGCCAAGGAATCATTGTGGTCGGCGGTATCTCAAAATATATTGGACCCGGAAGCTCAGGATGCCATGGACACTGCCTCTGACAATAGTTTTTGGGATGCAGAAACTAGGGTGGGTGACTTTGAGCTCTGGCACGGTGCTGAGTGGAACTTACTATACAAACATTTCAGCCTAATGATTGGGGTCTGGATTCAACGATTGCTACAGCAGTGGAGGTGTGTTTGTTTGACTTGTCAACGGCAGCACATGTTGACCCATGTCAGCATTCAATTCGCTACCATCCGTGGAAATGTGACAAATGCAAGAAATCAGGCATACCTTGCATTGTTCTGCCGGACAAAAAAGTCGGATGCACACGACTCATTTGCGCAAATTGCGACAGGACAAAGGTTACTTGCGCAATCGATGGAATGGGTGTCCGGGACAGGTTGCAGGCTCAAGCCAAAGCAACGGCGGTGACACAAGCAGCCGATCGTCCCAAGCGCTCCAGGTCGCGTGTCCCCAAGGCCCGAGCCGTCAGCGAGATGCTGAAAAAGGACTCTCCGGCCTCATTGACCATGCCAGCTGTGTCTTTATCCACCCCTGTTGTGAAAGAAATTGCCGAACATGGTAGTGAGTGCAGCTACCTCAGAATAGCACTTGAACTTATCCGCAACTGCCTTAGATGTTGAGAAACAACCGATAAACTTGACAGTGACTCCTGTGGAAGAGACGCTGTTCTCATTCATTGCCAAACCCGGGCAGACCAGCCAATCGGAGCAAGTCCACCCAATGGGAGTCGACCATCCAGCGGAACAAGAGCCAACCGCAAAAGACATTCTGCAGGCCATCCGGGACCTTGGAAACAAGTTTGACCTCCTTGCCACTAATGAGAGGGTGGATGCATTGGATGCCAAGGTCAATTCGGTGGAGGAAGTCTTTGGCCATCGGCTGGCAACGTTAGAGCAACACATCAATTCATCCGATGCACAATCGAGGGCGATGTCATCGTCGGTCGGACATTTGACAAATTGTCTCCGGGACCACAAAGACGACTTGGAAGCTCATCGACCTCGCGTAAACACCACCACCTATGCTCCTCTGCAGCACCCGACCGCTCAGCTTCCGGTGTGGCTCCATGGCACCGGGGGCGTTGATGATGTGGGCATCTCTACGGTCGGCAGACAGTGGACGCATGCATGGGACCCATCTGTAGCGACTGGTGTGCAAGGCTGCCTCGAAACATCTGCATCGGCTACACAGACAGGTTATCCTCATGATACCCCTGTTATTCGCACAAATTCAATCCAATCATCCCGATTGTCCAGCACGCCATCCGCAATGTCCGATAAGTAGATTTTTGTCATATCCGGATCGACATTGAGTTGTGGGACTGGCGTCACCTAATTTCATGCAGTTTTGCCTACTTGGTTTATATGCTTTGCTTTGGATACTAGTGCTGTAGCTGTAGTTGATTACTCTACTGGATATACATTACTAGTTTCATATCTGAGTTCGCAATGCCAACAAAGGATGGCGGTACTTATGATCATCTCCTATGCAAATTGCATGTGGGTCACAGAATCACGGCGGGTCGAATTTTGTTTAACATCTCGTGCTGTATTCGTTTCCCAGATGTTCTTGATTCAAGAGAAGTTTCATTTTGGCGGAAAAGGCTGCCCAACGGAAGTTCTCGGATACAAATATGTGCAATAATTTGATTATCGACGAAGGACGTGCAAATGATTAAATTTTACTTTCCAAATTAAATGAATGCTTAAAACTTCAGATTTAGTCCATTGGGTGAAAACGGATCAGCCCAATGGACGATTGTGAGCCCAGCACGCCCCATTTTCATCTCGGACGGGCTCAGCTAATGATTCGGAGCCTAGGGCCTTAATTGTCCTTGGGTCTTGTGATCGATATGATTGATTGGGCACATGCATCTCTCTCAGAGAATGAATTAGCTGGGCTCATTTGTGATGAATAGGGTCACCGGCTCGGCGAATTTGACATGGGAAAGAGGAACGGATGGGCCTACCAATGTGCTTGGGCCTAACTAATAATTTTCATGCCAAAACCACCATTTTGTCTTAGGTCCAGTTATGGAGATCATTGGTTGGGCCCACCCATCTTCCTCACCGATGTTAGATTCTCTCGGCTCATAACCCATATCGCTTGAGCAGATAAGCTGGACCTGGTGCGACTTTCCTGAATTGGCCCATCAGCCACCACAAGGTGTTGGAATTCTGCACATGTGGGTCCAATACGCATATTGCTTTCTGGAATGCATGGCTGATGGGCTAAACTGATGATTGCAAGAAGAGTTCCCTCTGGATGGTTCCGGAACACGTAAGGGATGGACTCAGCTGCATATTTTGAGCATGTTTGGACTCCCAATGCGAGATCAATGGTCCTAGAAACACGCATAGGACGCTTGGAATTTTTTGCATTAATTGCATTGATAAAAGTGCTGGAGAGTACGTTCCGGAATGATATGTCCATCGTACCTGGGAGGGTCTTGTATGGGTTCTGGGTGACATTTTATATACTCACACATGAATGACCACAATCAGGGACACCGGGAATGCCCGTTTTATGATATATCTTCTTAAGCACACCTTTTGTACTCTCCGAGCACATTCAAATTCCACTAGCTGGTCAACTACAATATTAATAAAGATCAAGTCAAATCCGATGTAACTGTGGAATGTAAAAGTAGGAAACAAGATGACCTCATTGTATGCAACTGGTAAAGACCCACCCGTCTGATTTCGCATATGATGTTGTGATGAGTTGGCAACATGGGATTGAATCCTCATCCAAATGAGGAGAGTCCGGGGCGCAGGTGAGCTTCGCAATGAATGCCAATGTCCCGACATCACCTTCTACATCCGTCATAATCGACTAATTGCACGCATATGTTTGTTCCCTACCAACGGTTGAGATTCCCAGGCGTTCATCAATGGCGGCATTTTGCGGGTTGTATTTGGAATCATTGGAGGAGCCAGGACGGTGAGCTGCCGGATCGTTCTTATGCACTTGGAAGGACATCGATAGATTACCCATCAACAATGTGACTGAATGCCAACACGCATCTGAGGCAGTGATCTGTTTCTCCAGCTCCATTAGCCTCCATCCAAACCTGTCCTCCACCGAATCAACCGTCGCATCCAATGCGTCCACCCGCTCATTGGTTGCAAGGAGATCGAATCTCCTGCCAAGGTCCTGGATGCTTTGCAATATATCCCTTCCGCTAGGTTCCGGCTCCGAAAGATTGGTGGGTAATGATGGCTGAAATGACGCTGGGATGGATACTATTGCAGGGAGTGCTTCTTCCGAGGGTGCTCCTTTCGAGGGTGGGGAAAGGTCCGACGACCCCATGTTGTGGGGCGCCAGCGGAGCCTCATATTTAGGCCTCGAGTTCGTTGGTTGTTCTAAGTCAGGGGCAAAGCTCAGTGAGTTTGAATGATACCACCGAGAGGCATACCATTCAGTGTATTGTCCACGGCAACCGTTTGCACCGCACGCGAGTTGGAACGCGTGGCCGGTTTCGTGGTCTTCGCCGGAGCAGATTTGTCCAGACTTTTGGCGGCGGGGCATGACTTGTTTGCCCGCGTCCTGGGACGTTTGGGAAGAGGATTGATATTCGGTTCTCCCACAGCTTCCTTCGCCCTTACTTGCAACCTCTGCCTGACACCAGCACCATCGATTGTGCAGGCGATCTTCATTTCATCGCAGTTTGCGCAGGCTAGTCTGGTGAATCCGAACTTCTTGTCAGGAAGAACAATGCAAGGAACCTTCAACTTGACACATTTGTCAGATTTCCGGGAGTGGTAGCGAACGGATTGCTGGACCATGGGTCAGCAAACATTGACCGCATGCATTTGCTCGCCTACCTACCTCCACCGTTGTGGCAATGTTGGAATCCAGACCCCATCCAGCAGGCTAGAAGGGTGCAAGTAAGACCCGAATTCACTGAGGCAGAGATGACTCACCCTGGTTTCTTTATCCCAAAAGCCTCTGTCGTCCAGCAATTCTGTTGCTGATGTACCTGCTGATGTAGCATCTGGAGTCACAACATTGAATGTCTTGACCGACAAAGCCTTGTGCTATATCAATTTCCGGTGAGCAATGACCAGAGATATACTATGAGAGTCACCTTAACCATAATGGTACCAGCGGCCCTGTGGTCCTCTTCATCCAACATAAACTTCTTCTTCCATTTGTGAATTGGTTTCCGGGATATGGGCGTTGGTGTGAGTCCACGCATTACCTCCACTTCTTTGCCATCATTGTTGCTCTCTTCTGCTTTCCTTTTCGTCTTCCTGGGCCGCGAGGTTGTTTCTGGTTGTGTCTTCATACCTCCAACCATAGGGATACTGTGTCTCACCATCACGGGAGCGATGGAATGTGGAAGGGGGGTCAGTGCCTCCAATACCGTTGTGTCGGCAGCGCTGCTTCAGATGTCTGATACCATGGGTTCCATCACCGGAACCTCTGAGGTTTGCAACACGGGAGTGCCAGGTACGAATTCATTGCCAGCCGATGAAACAGATGGGGTCACCTTTGATGAGCCGAGCTGAAGGGGCATCATTACTGGGATGGATTCTGCAAGAGTTTTTGCAACATCCTCCAGGACCGCCGATGCTGACACGGGGGGTTTGTGTTCGGGCAAGGTGGAGGGGCGGTAGTCCACAGTCTTGTGGAACCGCGGGTGACTCCTAATGCGCGGGTCGTCATCTATGACGGTCTTCCAGTTGGGCAATGACACAAAAATGCCAGCCTTGGAGTGCTCCCATACTACGGTGGCACAGGATAGCAGCTGAGGGGAGAACGATGTCGCGCTCCCCCCATACAGTTTCAAATCTTTTGCCTGCACCAAATGTAGTTAGTTGTCCAAAACACAGTATAGATCTAGTGGAGCAAAACTCACCAGGCATCTGGCGATTTCATCTGATAACGTCAGTGTGCCTGGATCACTTTCCTTTAATTTCATACATCGCTTCATCAATGATTGTACAGTCTCGAGCGTAGCCTGGAGAGCGTTGTTTGCTATTTCCGAAGGTGTCATAATAGTGTATAAAAACTAGTGAGCAACAGGTGATGGTATACGCAAAGAAAGATGACTTCGATTCTTTTTCATAAGTCTTGGGATTTATACCAATACTTCGGTTATGGGTGTTTCCGAGAACGCGTGGCCATTATGGAAGCACGGTGCTGTGGACCTGTTAACACCATTGTCATGTAATACAGCTCATTGTCCCACGCATTCCACTGCCACAGCCACTGTGGCACAGTCGGGTGATCCACATATGGAAGTACATATTGGCCCATCGTAATCCTTCCCCGACCTCCTTATTTTACACAAAACAGTCATGTTTGGAAAGCAAGTTCGCTTTGCTACAGCAGTATATTCAGATGACGATGACTCGGTCACCAGTGCCACTTCTGATAGTAGCTATGTCAATTCCTCTGACTCCCACAGATCTACGTGTAGCAACTCTCCGGAGGTAGCAAAACACAAATTCGAAGGGCCCCTCGCCTGGTGGAGTGGATATACCCCATTGGACTCATGGATTCTGCCCATACTTTTCCAGATCCCGAGGTTTAAGGGCCTGATCGGAGTGGAACCTTATATAAGGTTCAAACGTAAGTCGGCTGTCGAAGCTTCTGACCCGGGATTGCTCAAAACTCTCGCAATGCAGAATATAAATTGGCTGATGAGGTGCGGTTGAGCGAAGAGTGGACAAATGATCCCATTGCAAACAGGGACATAAGTATGTTATTCTCTGGCCTGACTTGTATCGCTAAGCTAACTTTATAACAAAGGATATGACATGTGCTTTTTCGGAGAATTTGATGAAGTTACAAGCATGCTAGCTGGTATGTTACATCCCGTCACATTATAGAGACATTCTTATCCTTTGTTAAAGATATCCATGTCCTTGACATGGCTCACGGTACTGCCATTGCAGCAAAGGCCATTTCACGATCCCGGGGACTCACCAACTTGGACCGGTCACCTCTCGGTCGTATACAGGTGAATAGTGGTTCCATAGATGAATGCATGCATGAAGATAAGGGGCCGGATAGATGTGAGCACCCACATACCCCGCTCGGATGAAACTAATCATTAGCATAGCCGCGGATGATACCGCTGGATCACTAACAATGGACCCTTATGATTGTGGGTGGGAGGACGCACCGGCTGCAGAAGATCTCATCTCGAGCTTGTTCTCAGGAGAGCAAGCAGATCCATACGACTGCGGATGGGATGATCACATGGAAGTCAATACACCGGGAGTGAAGGAAGACTTAAACAACTTTGAACGGGAGGATGAGTCGAAGAAAGGTCTGGTACCGGGTCTGCCTATGGTTGAGGAAGAAGATGCGTACGACTGCGGATGGGAGGATGCTGTAGATGCGCAACCCATGGCCTCGTCGATGACTCTCAGCCATCAAGACGATGCATACGATTGTGGATGGGAGGATCGACCGGATGATGGTGCGGTGCTCACAGACTTGGTTATGACAGTTGAATGCCCAGAAGATCCATACGACTGCGGATGGGGGGATCAGCAGGATGATGGTGCAGCATTCATCTCCAGTGTTGCAACAGAAGACCTGTATGATTGCGGATGGGAGGAAGAAAAAGATGCCGACAGTGCGTCCCCAATTGCGATTCCGGAGGACCCTTATGACTGCGGATGGGGAAGTGATGCCGACAACCAGGATATTGCATCACGACATGACCCTCAAAACGGACAAATTGGTCGCCGGACGAACAGTCCGACGCCGATGGATGGGCTCTATATAATCGACTTGACATCGTCTTCTGGATGTAAGTTAGTTCTCATATGCTATACCTGTCACTAATCACATTGCAGCTCCCAAATCAACAAGAGAAGCAAGATATGAGCCGATGAGCATAGAGATACCAGAAGTAATCGACCTCACGTCAGACACTGGATGTGAGTGTTTCCGGATATGTTGTATATGCTGCTAATTGTGTAGCTTGCTCAGCATCTTCACACGGAGTGTCCCAACGGAACACATTTCAGGATGCCAGCTGGTCGATGCACCGTGGCATCCAGCGCCTGAACAGCATTGGAACTGATCAGCGTAAGTTGTAGTGACTTGTAGAATGGTTATACCTTACATATATTTGGAACAGGAAATGCATCTACACAAAATATGGTCACGCAAAATCCTGCTGGCATGCCCGACTCACTTTCGGCAGCCACATTGAGGGCGAACCAAAGGCTCATAGGTGCATACACAGATGCGCGGGACAGAGTGACAGAGCTCGGTGAGGATGTTGTTGCAATCTACCGATTGCTGGACATCCACAGGCGCATTATGGATCCGTTGGATGCCATGATAACAAACCTTCAGGAAGGTAATCAGTAGACATCAGTTGATTGGAGAGGATTTATAACTTTCATTCATAGAAAGAACCATGTAGTAGCAGCATTATGTATTACCATACAAACAAATTGTACAATGTCCATGTCTCTGTATCCGAGGAAAACCAGAATAGAGAGTTATGATACAAAACATGCAGCATAATTTTGTGCTCAAGTTCTTACATAGTCGGTAGCATATCGGGAGTTTGGCTTGCGTGCACACGTTGTGGGAAGGCAGTCGGATGTTTTGCTCCAGGTGCGTTTTGAGGGAGATCCTTCCATGGATTCTTCAGCGACCTGTTTCTTCAGTCTCTTCGCCACGGGCTCTATCTCATTCTTGGTGACCTGTTTTACAATTCCTCGGCCTTTGTTCCTTTTAGGAGGCGACCCTTCTAAAGTTTCTTCAGCAGCACATTTCCTTCCTCCCTTCTTTGCATGTTCTTTACCGGTCAGATGGTGTGCTATGGACATTGCAGGTTCCGCTGTCCTTGTTGATGCGGATTCCACGCGATTGGCATTCGCCTGGTAGCCGGGTGCGGCGCCGCCAGACTGGGAGGCTGGTCCTACCGTGCAGGCGGGTGGTATCACCGGTCGTGTGACGCCAGATTTAGATCCCTCGCGTACAGTAAACTTTGCATTCTGCTTGACATCATCTATCGTGCTGCTATCCGTTGAGCTGATATCGAGGATCCGAGCCTTTCTATTGTTTACCATATCCATCTTGACATGTTTGTCTAAAGGTGCAAGGGCCTTTTGAGGGAGTTTCTGTTCGACCTCACTGTCAGAGTCATTGCTACTCATGACAGACGCTCGGTAGCGGTGCCTCGGCAACCCCATATGTGACTTCCTCCCCTTCGACCGCCTTCCTGTCCGTGAAGGCGGTACATCATCATCTGATTGCTCAGATGGTTTGGCAGAGGACTCATTGGTTGTCCCGATACGGTCAATGTCCTTGTCAGAAGACTTATGTTTGTTCTTAGATCCCTCGCTCTTGTTTCGGGGAGTTGTAGATGAGGCACTCTTCATTGCCTTAACTCCGGAATGATGTGCAGGGGCCGGCTCATCATTCCTCCCCTTTTTACGAGAAGATTGTCCACCTGTGGATTGCTCGTGATGGCCGTGCTTCTTCGACTTTGATCCCGATGGCTTCTTCATCTGAGTGGTTGGCTGTGCCCGGCTTGTGACACGCCTATCTTGGTCGGTCGCAAGGACGATATCCTGACTATCATTGTCCCACCATCCTGTAAATTCGAAGATGTGCTCTTCGCCTTCTTCCTGTCTCCTATACCAAAATCGTAAAAGCTCTGTGGCGTGGACCTGCCTTAGCTTTGATGGCTCGGCGAGATTGTGACCTTCTGGAAGATATTGTACGGGAATGATCTTGTCGTACCTGGGTATCACATACTTCCATGGTATGGAAACTTTAGGGTCCCCACAGCACGTCCCTTCATGTTGTTTGAGTCACTGAATTCACCGGAAGAAGGAAATCGACACACTGTAGTGCCATGTCAAAAATGCCCGAACAACTGCCTTCTTTGTATCTAAGTCCATGGACACGTATTCAGGGATTACAGGAGATCCATCATCTCTGATGTCAAGGGTATACGTGTTGTCCTGTCTGCCTTTCTTCCGAGCAACCGGATTCTCGTCCACATCGCCCTCTGATCGCAGTTAGTTTGCACCAGATACATAATGAAGTGGCTTACCAAATACACTGGTGGCATATGTGTCCCATTCTGGCTCAATAACTTTCCAGTTGTAACTCTTCATGAACGACTTGGCACCACCAAACTCTTGGTTATAGTCATGTCTGTCTGTGGGGTGAGAAGTTGTGGATCACAGTGGTCGGAAAACACACCCGGCCACCTGGACCTTGCTCTCTCCATCCTTCCAAGCTGATAAAACGAACACTCTCATTCCTGCGTGGTTCCACATCTCCGATGAAAAATGTCGGATCATGTCGTCGCCCTTCTTTCTCGCGATCTCGACTTTGACATCATCTGGAACACCTTGACTATTCCATTCATCGGCCGTCTCTTTGGCTTGTTGAAGGTCTTCCAGTGAAAGTGATGCCATCAGCCGGTTTAGGTGGACTGTGTAATGGTTCATCATCTCTTTTGTTCTGGGTTTGGCACCAGTCTTGTCCTCAATTTTCTTCAAGAGCTCCTTTTTCTGGAGTGTGTCTATGATGCTTCTCTCAGTCCATTTCTGCCCCATCTTGATCGGGGGTTTCCCTGGTTTCTTCGCCTTCACATGGTTGCGGAACCATGTCTCGTATGTCTGAATAACAATGAGGAGCATATCATATACCAAAAAATTAATGGCCATGCACCACTTTACGAGCCTTGAACAGTACAATTGACATGACTGGTGCTTTTGTCCGGGCTTCCATTGTAGCTGCTTTCAATATATTCTTTCGCTCCGATGTAGCAGCAGAGCGCCATTGCTCAAGGTAAGACTGCAGGACAGCAACCTCTTCTTCATTTGCTGGAGGTTGTTTGTTGGACTCTGAAATCAGAGGCAGAGTTGTGGTCGGACATCATTGAAGGACAAGGTTATTTTGAATGGGGTCTTATTTAAAATGATGACCTTTACTTAATTTGCGCTTCATTTGGCTATTAAGCGAGCCAAGAGTTAGCATGCAAATTTTGCTTGTCCTAAAATTCACACAAGTTTCCAGTAACCACATGGGCAAGTCTAGGGCAAGGACATTGGCTTTGTGGGGAACAGTGCAATGGGTGACATGGAAAACGACAGAGACCACTCGCGGCTTGAAAGGGAAGTGGTGTCCAGTTAAACCCAGTCAGCCAAGCCCATCCGTGCAATCATCTCCAGCAAAGTCTCCCAGAAAACACAATTCCGATAGTGCATGGGATCAATTGTCAACCGATTCCAATGCTGACTATGAGGACTTTGGTAATAAGGAACCAATTGGTGCCCTCAACTTACCGTCAGGGAGAAAGAAGACAAAGATGCACTACAATGTTCATGCCATGCGTTTTGCGCTGACCGATGTCCTAGAGCCCAAATGATTATCTCCGGGAATGGAAATTTCGGACTGGATGATTACCTCCGGATCCTCCACGAACGAGAGGCTCCACCAGCAGATAAATCATGCTGCCTGTGCAGTGCTGAGTCAACTGTGTATAGGTGCCACGACTGTCTCGGTGACCCGTTATTTTGTTTGAAGTGCTGCAGAGATGAGCACTGGAGACTGCCCTTCCATAAGATAGGGAAATGGAATGGGGGATTTTTTGAGGAAACGTCTCTGACCAAGATGGGTATGGAAATTCATTTGGGGCATCAGGGAAAGCCTTGTCCAGTACTTGGGGAAATCCACGAATGGGAGGACACCGACGAGCCAATACATCAACCAGAAGAGGACCTCCCTACCATACTCGAACTTCCATTCTTGAACGGCAAGCAATGCATAACCATTGTTGACAAGTCCGGAGTACATTCGCTCATGATACGGTTTTGTCGATGTCTGAATGCTTGCACCGCCGACAAGCAATTATTTGAGTTAGGCATGTTTCTGGCATCCTTCACCTGGCTGAAGACTGCATTTACCTTTCCAGTGCTGGATGGTTTCGCCTTGGACAACTTGGAATGCGGAACTTTGGCAATGAATTATTACAACAAGTTGAGAAGAATGACATCAAGTATATTTCCGCAACTAGTCCCTGTATGTGTTGCATATAGAAATTCAACATTATGAAAGCTCAATTCCCCACAGGACCGTTACAGAGAATTGATGAGGGTAGCACGGCAATGGCGACAGCTGAAGCTGCTCAAATGGAATGGGTTTGGTTATGAGAGAAGAAGGCCGACATCCGGTGAACTCACTCTCTTTTGCCCGGCTTGCCCTCAGCCCGGCATGAATGCCCCACTACCGGCCAATAGGAATCCCGATGATCCCAGTTGGGTTTATGCCCGATCACTGGTCATGGACGGCAACTTCAAAGCAGAGCACCTTCATCCCACTCACCCAGAAGACGAAGTCTGGTTGACGGATGGACAGTGCTTCATGGTTTCCAAAGACCAATATAAGGCTCATCTAGCCATTGCCAAAGATGTTGTTCAACCGTCTGAGTGCAACAATCACCGAGCTGTGAACCAGGCCAATGCGTCCCGACACAAACTAGAAGCTACCGGGATAGGCGGGTGTGCGTGTGCCCGCCACGGCTGTTTTGTACCTCATTCGGTTGTGGATTTTCAAAAGGGCGAACGGTATGTTTCAGGATCCCGCCGATTTGATTCACAAGGTGACTTCCGTGATTAGGCAAATGAATATGGACTACGCCCTATGTAACACGTTAAGCCACCGCACAGATGGGCTCAGTCAAGCTTTGACATTTTATGACATTAATTGTCAGTATAACAAGCACTTCTGGCGTTGGGTGACCGAGAGCCTCTATTTGAGCCTCCCTTCTGGTATGGAGATCATACCGGGAATTGGCCTCTGGCATGTTCATGGACACCAAGACAAATGCTATGTTCAGTACGCATCAACGTTTATCACCGGGGCCGCTAGGATCGATGGAGAAATCATGGAGACGTTGTGGGCGCCTCTGAATATCATATCTCCCGCCGTGAGAGGGATGTCGACTCCCCATCGGCAAGAGTGTCTTGATTACCAGATGAATGACTCTAATTTTATGAAGATGATTTGCATGAGTTGAGCTATGAATCTCCTTGGTGAAGATTTTCTAATGACATTGATATAGGCAGTTTTCTTTGCCGGAAATATAAGGAAGCTATTAAGGGTGTCGCAGAAAGTGCCTCTGCTTTTGACAAGCTCAATGAAACCGCCGATCCTATCATGGTTGCAACATGGGAAGCACAGGACCGATATGCACATTCATGTCGAGTCGCCGATCCATCGGCGATGGATGTATTTGAAGTTCAGTTAAAGAGGGGTGAGTTTCTACTCCCTCAGCGTCCGCCCCACAAAATTGATTGCATTGACCAGCACCAACTCGGAAGCAGCAGGAGCTAGCTTTGCTGTCCTCCCGGGTCAGGCCGATTGGGCAGGAATCTGCAATGAGGTGCTGCTACATGGATTGCATCTGGCATTACCATAGAAGAGATGCAGATCGCGCTGACTATGGATACTAGGAGGCTCGGCAGACACCCCACGGAGACCCAAACCTTGGATATCTGCAGACACCGGACAAAATTGCAAAGTCGGATAGATGAATTTACGATGGTGGCGGCGACTCATCTCGGCGAGGGCTTTGACATTGATGATGAAATCAGAGATCTCCACTTGGACTTCATGGATGATGATTCAGAAGATGAAGGAATTAATGGCAGTGATACAGAATCTGAACCCGAAGCACATGGACGTCGGCTGCGGGATCTCTTCTACCCCGAGAAGACCGTGATACCTCTGCCATCTAATTTCGGCGTAGCACGCTGTGCGGAGCTGGGAGTTGAACACCTCATTGGTCAGGAAATTGCACTTCGGGAAGGTCAGGCCAATGATGCCTTGCAAGCGATCAGAATGCATCTAGCGGATAAGGCTGTGCTCTTTCGTACTGCTGTGCATCCGGCGAAATCACAAGCCAAGTCAACGAGGGCATGGACGCAGGTTCATTCGGTTGAAAGGGTCATCCGACTCAACACAATGATTTATATGAAATGTCGGGCACAACTCGGAAACCTGGAAGCTCATGGCCTGCTTAATAAGTACCTCCGGATGGAAAAGAGCCATCTCAAAACCACTGCTGCCATGGCGGACCCGAATGCCCGGGGGCAGCGAAATGCAACTCTCCTGTGGTTCTGGTCGCTAGACATACAAGGCGATTCTGTCAGCAGCGATTGGATGAATGAATGTATGTCAGTTGTAATCCGGATATTTCGAGCCGAGGCTCAAGACACGACAGTTTACAGGGTTTGTTGGCTTCGCATGAAAGCATTACGCGACCAATGGGCGGAAGAACTCATACTCGTTGAACATGAAATGGGTTGGACTCTGGAGTTTTTCCTCTTCAAAGCAAGCACGTGGTTGACAAGGCTCACATTGAATGGCGAGGCACAAATGAAGGGACACAAGTGTTATGCGATTCGGCAGGCCCATATGTACCAAGAACTTGCCAAACACGCACAGGCTGGCTTTATAAAGACAAATCCAACCTTCCGGCCAATTCCTTAATATATAGTTGTAAGAAGTCGTTCATAGACCTGATATCTCATAGACAGCCAACTTTTTCGTAAAATGGAGCATTCTCAATCCTTACTGCATTCAGTGACGTTGAGCGGACGCTCAGCATTGAAATTGATAGCACCGCAATGTGTTTTGCAATCTAACTAGACATGGATGCCATCCAGTACAATGATTCGTTGGCTAAATGGTAGTCCGGATTGCATGATGCTCGCAAAGAATTATTGTTGAAGTTTCCCCCCAGAGCAGATGGTGTTGAATACTTCCTATGTGGTGATTCTGTAATACGTACAGGGTAGTCTGACTGCGTCACAGTTTTCTCAAGTTAGCTGAATTTATGTCCATTTTTGACATGTCATACTCATTGCTTCCGGTACAAATCCGGTGTGCTTGAGTCCTCCCAAGGAAAACAATGATCGGCACGGCTGTCTTCTGTGACTCCGAGGGAGATCCCATTTGTTTTTTATCTCACAATTTATGCCTATAGCTTCAAGGCCCAACTTGATGACACCGCAAAGGAACAAATGCTGAAGTGTGCTACTGAGCTCCACAATATTGTTGTCCAGGGCCAGGCTGGTGGTGGCGGCACAAAAACATCCGGGAGGAGATCAACGAGACCTCACTAGGCCTCGTCCAAAACCTATGGATGAAATGACATGCTCAGAATACCTCCTCAGAAAGTACCCCGGAGAAGCCCCACACAGGGAATGAAGCATTATGTACTTCCGTCCAGCTTTCCACCTTGGTTCTCGTCCCTGCCGCAGCTCCCATAGTCTCTGCTGTGTCTTGATTTCTCATCAAATTGCTATTGCATAAGAACATATTCATCCTTTCTGCGCTCATGTCCACATTGAGAGTATCAGAGACGCACCACTCAGACATATACTTTAGTGCTGACATGATTCTGATTTTGAAGTAATGTAGGGTCAGACACTTGTGATCAATACAAACTCCATGGTTCGGTCCATGGCTCTAGGTCATCCCGAATGGTTCTGTTCTGGTTCGGCCTTCCTGAATCATTCCGAACCCTTCTAAATTTTGACTTCAACATCATTTGCCTCGATGTCAGACTGACCTTTGGGATTCACACTTGCGGTTGGTCAGGCTGCTTTTTAGCCTTTTTGAAGGTAAGTCCTAACTTTTTTGACTAAAAATTCAACTTTTGCATCAATCCATGCTAACGAGAGCATATTGCTTGGTATGTCCCTTCTTCCGTTCTATCCCCTTATCTGATTATACTGCGTCCTCAAATACCTTTGGCGCTCCCATTCCCTCATCGGCGCCTGTGCATCAGTTTTCCCTGCGCAGATCATGTTGACCGGAATGGCGGCTTCAGCACCTCAATCATCTGATGGAAATCCTCAAGGGTATGTCTCTATTTCTGTCGTCGTAGGGTCAGGCCACTTGTTGTTGAGTTGTACATGTGCTTCCAGGATGAGCTTCAGATGTATGAAGACGGGACTTTGGAAGCTGTCTTGTCAGTGCGTATTGCTGATGATGTCCTTGATCTTTGGTTTCTCATGTGTTTTTGTGTTCAGGCCGATTCAACATCGATACAGCTAGAGTACAAGTGTCCTCAATATGCCATCACCCCATTCCTGTTTGGATTCTGTCAATATCATACCCATTGGTACGCTCACTCTCTTTACTCTACGCTGTTAAAACACAGCACCCACTCCCTTCTGCCTGCGATTTTTGCATCTCTTTTTGGCCTAGCCATACCTGAGGGCTCTTGCTGGTCTACATACCCCTTCGCACTCACAGTCCCTTCTAGATTCTTACACACTGCTGCTGCACCCCATCCGGCGGGAAAGCCGGCCACCCGTAGAGAGCACTTCAAGGTGCTATGGCACATTGGTTTTTCAAGTTTGCTCACGTGAGTACCATCCTTGCAAACACCTGTTGCTGTGCACATATGGATTCCTGCACTGTCATGGACACGGATACCTGTATTGACGTAGACGCTTGCACGGACGCGAACTTCTGCATTGATACCTTTTCTTTGTTCATCTACTGACTGAGATAGCTCCTGATTAGTACCAACATTTAATGATCCGGAAATCTGCTGGAGGTCACTGTGTTCATGCTCGAGAGTCTCATGTGGAGACCTCTTGGAGGTACAGTCTTATTTGAGTTATGACGCGATAATGAATGACCAACCTTTCACTTGCACTCCCCGACATAAGTGTAGATGCCTTCACTTCACTCGCTGCCCACAAAAGAGCTGACCTGCTTGTCATAGACACCCTACGCTTTGATTTAATCACAGAAAGCCTGCCGGAACCTGTTTCACCTTTCCATCACAGCATTCGGACTCTACTAGAAAATTTTGGGTCCAGTTTTGGTTCGGAACGCAACAAAACCGAACTGGACCACAGAGAATGGTTCTCCTGTGGTCTGGTTCTGGGTTCGGACATTTCGTAGACCCGAACCGCTGGTCCAGTTCTTGGTTCTCCTTGATGACCCTCTGAACCGGACCGAATCGGACCACAGGCAGCACTACTACTGGGCTACAATTGCCAAATTAGCTAGCTCATTTCATACATAAATCATATCAGTAGTTATCTGTTACATAGGCTACTTGTTCGGCCGCGCTTGTCAAATGCATTCACAACTGCTACTAGTAGAATAATTGCAATGCAGTGACAAAATTGTATAAGCTGGGCGGTGAGTAAATAATGGGGTTTTGACAACAAATAAGTTCTGGCCAGTGGATCTGAGCATAGGGTTTCAGAAGTATCACATGTGGAAATCTTCGGGAAAATGAGCATAAGAAGTTTAATCGCAACCTGACCAAGATGGGTGGATGCAGGGCAGCAGACAGTCTGGCTCATTCAAACATGCAGTATCGGTTTATCCGGACATTGGTGGATGGATTATTAGTACTACATCCGAATGCATAGGACAATAATAGAACCACTCCCAAGTACAATACCTGTTACGACAAATGGTCGTGTGCGACTAGGATAATCTAACAGCGACAACCACGACAGTGGTACCGAGTGCTGAGAGTCGTCGGCCTTTACAGACAAGCAAAGGTTGCGTACTCGAACGTAGCTCGTGGTGGTTAACGAGGGGTTACGCTGAGATGATAGCGGGTTTACAGACAGTGAGAGGCGTCACTGAAGGTACGAGTCGATGTCGAGCAGGTAGCTTTAGCGGGACAAGGAGTTCAAGGGTAAACCTAGTAAGATTAAAGTAAGGAACGTCTACTTTAATCTTCGACCTTATATAAGGCTACTCTTCGTATCTAAGCTCAGCCTAAAGCTGGGTTCTAATCTGCTTATCTACATGAGTCAGAGATAGCAGTCCATGAGGCAGGCTTCTATCGTAGATAGGATCCATGAGGCATCCTTCTATCAGTACATGAGGCAGCACGAGGCTTGCCTTCTATCTTGATAACATAAATAGGTCTTCTAGACCTATGTCGTCATGTGTCGTCACGTGCGGTCCAGACCGCTTATCTAAGCCGGCAGTTGCTGCTTATCATCTATCATCGTCTATTGTCATCTATCGTCATAGAGCTGGTGAGACTCCGGTATCGTCTATAGCCGTGCGGTGGCAGAGGGCTGTCTGCTGGCGGGGGACTCATGCCATGTTACTGTAACAATACCATTGCCACTGATCCACATTTCCCTATCCACAAGCCACAAGTCCCCAGCATTACTCACGACCTGGATTGATTACAATCCAGACTTGTCAGGGATTTTCTAAGTCAACTTCTCATATCTGCCGTATTTACCCTGTTCACTACTGTGTTTTCTTTCGAATCAGACATCATGGCCATACCTCCGGAAGTAGCAAATGATGCCCTGAATGCCACACTCGCTGTCGTGCAATCACTCATGAAGCGCTGCATCAAGGTGAAGAAGGGTGATCCCGAGGCCTTAAAGCTGTCGGACGAGATTGCCAGGCGTGTGGTGAGTGTTTGTTACATTTATTTAAAATTCTCCGTGATAAACTAAGACATTCGACACAGGCAAAAGACTTAAAACTTTACAGTGGGAATGCTACATCATTCTCCCCACAGCTACTCTCATTTGCTGCCATTGTGAGACAGCAAAGGGCGGGGCCTTTGAAAACGTCCCTGACTGGACCTCTGTCGCCAATGACAACCCTCGGATAAAGAGCCACCCACGATTCGAGAAGACCGTGGACTATCGCCCCCCCTCCACATCTAACATTCCCACCATCACGACATCGACTGATATTCCTGCCACCGTCCCAATACCACCGGCCCTCATTGTCCTGCCATTGACTCCCTCGACTCTGCCATCTATGCCATCCCACACGGACCTGGATATCATCGCTAAGCCAGTAGTGGAACCGAAATGACGGGTGCGAGCACGCAAGAACCCGCCCCGTGTCGGTCGTCCAGCACATCCGCCCATAAGATACCGCCACCTGTACATGCCCAAAGCTGAGAGGGAAAAGTGGAAGGTAGGTTTCCCGGCTGGCGATAGCAAGAAGAGGAAGGTGGAAGATGAAGATATTGATGGGACCACCATTGCCAAAAAGATGAGGAAGGTGAAGTCCGATGTCGAAAAAGAGCCAACTGGAGGAGTCATCCATGTGAAACGAAGGGTATGTCCATTCATCTTTGATTAGGCATCTAACAGCTTACCGCTCCAGGAATTGCCGCCTGTCGCTACTGACAAGGACGTTCTGCTAGTTGCAGACAAGGATTTCCTGGATGCAGAAACTCGGGTAAGTGATTCTCACATAAGCATAACACAGACGTTGAGCCATTTTCAAGCCTGCAGAATGGGGCTCGGATTCTGATGTCGCTACTCCTTGGCAGGTAAGTCTGTTTATGCATCATTATAAACACGGGCTAATGAATTTGAAGCATTCCATTCATTACCACCCCCGGCAGTGCGACAAGTGTGCCAAGTTGGACATAGCCTGCCTTGTCCTCCCCGACAAGAAATTCGGGTACACACGCCTCGCCTGCGCCAATTGCGACAACATGAAGATCGCGTGTGCAATTGACGGTGTTGGTGTCCGGCAGAGGTTGCAAGGTAATGCGGCGAAAGCATCCTCCTGACGCGTCCAAACCCCCCAAGATGTCCAAGTCCCGAGCTGTCTCCAAAAAACTCGCAGCGCGTCCTTCTCGCTCTCAATGGAGCATTGCTGGTAGCAAAGGTATGTTTTCTTGTGGCCTCGGAACGAGTTGAGCTCATTAGACTTTGCAGGGGCAGAGCGAAAGCCCACGGAGGTCCTTCCAGGTCCGGCTCAAATGCAGCCGGAACACTGGCAATCACCTGCGCCCACCAACCAGCTGGAACCAGAGCCCACCTGCAAGAGAAATCTTGCAGGGCATCCAGGACCTCGGTCGGAGGTTGGATCTCCTCGCCGCCAATGAGCGGGTAGACGCGTTGGAGGTCAGAGTGGGTTCAGTTGAGACCAACCTGCTTCAGTGGTTGGACGAGTTAGAGCAACGGCTCAACGAATCTGATGCCCGGTGGAAATCTTTGGAATCCCTAGGATAGATGGACGACATTATGACGACTTTAAATAGTCACTAGTTATATAGGATGGATCTGATCGCAGGACCCCCGCATGTACTGTAGATATTCCGGAGGACTGTGTACTGTTAGAATATTGCATGTTCAGCCTGGCGCTGCATTTGTATCCGAGTTCAATTTGTTGAGTCATGCATATTGTGTATGTGGTATTGTTGTCAGATCTTTGTCAAATCATAGTATTGCTTCATTCTAACTAAAAGTTGGGACCTGAGCATGCGCAAATCATCTTCACATTATTGTACTGGCAAGTGCATCCAGGGGTCCGGTGGACGAAAGCGTGAGCCGGGCAATCAGAGTACCCTCTTGGTTCCACGAATCACCATGATACTGGCCACACGGCACCTGCGTATATCCGACATGATTTAGCATCATACACAGAAGGTGCATCCGGAACTGATTTTGATTACCCAGCATACCAAGGCCTTCCGGAAGTTGCCCAAAATTAGATACACACATACTGGGCCTACAATTTACCCACTGGGCCTGATCCGCACACTGAATTGGTACCAGAATGACCAGTTGGGCTCCTCCGGGTACTTGTGCACTGGGCCAATCTGCATATTGAGTTTCTATGCACTAGGTTCAGAACAACCGGTTGCGCCAGATACTTCTGCATTGGGCCGATCCGCGCACTGAATGTGTATGGGCTGGGCCAGTTGGGCCCCTCCATATCAGCATTCTCTGGGCTGATCCATACATTACATTTGCACCACCTTCTGCAACCGCAACAAGCCTTAACCCGCTTCTCACCCATGTGGTTGTGTCCGATGCATCAATCGCATAATAAGGACATCGTCGGCTATGTTGACTTCTAGCCAGAGATCGTAGTCTTGTGCAGAAGATCGCTCAGACATCTCGATGCATTCCCGACAGCAAACATTATAAATAGAGGAAGGTATCAAGAGCACTGTCTGTGACCGTCCGAGGTTCCATTGATGGCGCCCTAGCCAATTATAAATCAATGGCCCAGCGGACATATGAGCGGGACGGAGGAAGCATAATTGGCCCTTGCACAAACAGGATATCGGGAGGGTCCTGCGAGGCCAACCCTTCGTTAATGAAGGGCATCTCGGATGGCCCAGCGAGACTATCTTTGGCCAATAGCATGTTAATGGCCCATCAAATGGCGTCAGCCCCGCGGATGATACGCTATATTCCGCCAAGGCGCAAATAGGATGTTGGAAGTGCCCAGCAGACCTATCATTGCATTGGGACGTCGTCAGAACCCAGGGTCTTAGCCTATCTGCCACTCTGCCTGAGCACAAACTACATGAAGGTTCTCTCTGCCACCCGACCAATTTGTTATCTTTGCCCGATGGGCCTGGAAATCATCGCTCTCGCAAGGGATGATGGATGGTCCATCTGTAGCCCCTTTCCAGCATGCAACATACATGCTGCACACATCCATCACCATTCTCAGGAATACACACAAGTTGAGTCCACCCGTCGCCTTCGCCAAGACCAAATCTACAGGCTCCACCATTCTCAGCAATATATGACGAGTGCTGGGCCCATCCGTCGCCCTTTCCGATTCCACATACATGGGTGGAAGGGTCCATTCCTGAGTCCCTTCTTTGTACTCTTTCCAAAATAACCGGTTGGGCCCTAAAACCTTCTGACTGGGCCTATCTGCATACCGAAATACGCTGTGGGCCAGTTGGTGCGATACACACACGAATTTATATGCACTGTGCCTAGAATAACCAGCTGTGCTCTTCCGGTACTTGTTTAATGGGCCTATTGGGCCCGCCCGGATAAGTATGCACCGGGCCGATCTGCATATTGAGTTTGTATATACTAGGTTCAAAACATCCGGTTAGGCCAGATATTTCTGTGCGCTGGACTGATCCACGCACTGAATTTGTATGTGCTGGGCCAGTTCGGCCCCTTCATATTAGTATTCCCTTGGCCAATCCGTGCATTGAATTTGCACCTGCTTCTGCAACTGCAAGAAGCCTTAATCCACTTCTCACCCGTGGTGTTTCTGTGCCCATTTTTCGCCCAAATCCATGGGGGGTGGGCCCATTCGTAGCCTTTTCTGAGTCCAAATACAGCAGGACTGGGCCCATCTGTCATCTTTTCCGGGTCCAAATACAGTGGGACTGGGCCCATCCGTCTCCTTTTCCGAGTCCAAATACAACGGGATTGGACCCATCTGTCGCTGTTTCCAAGTCCCAATACTTGGGAGTTGGGCCCATCCGTGTTTCCGAGACCACCTGCATATGCACTGGGCCCATCTGTCACGATTTTCAATATCAAATGTAGATCTGCTGGGCCTATCCTCGAGCATGCAGGCCCACCCGGTCGCACATTTTGGGCCCATCCGTCACGATTTTCAATATCAAATGCAGATCCGCTGGGCCTATCCTCGAGCATGCAGGCCCATCCGGTCGCACATTTTGGGCCCATCTGTTGCCCTTTTTTCCAAGTATGCCTACAAGCTGGCCCACCCGGTCGCACATTTTGGGCCCATCTGTCACAATTTTCACACATCTGCCGGGCCCATTCTCACCCTCAAGCATGCAGGCCCACCCGGTCACACAATTTGGGCCCACTCATCACTATGGATATCACACCTCAGCCCACCCGCCAGTATGGGTAATTTCTGTACTGTGGGCCCACCCGCTCCCACCCTGCCCATGGGCCCACCTTGGATGGCCCGCTTAACTGGGCAGAATCTCAACCTTTGGCTGTCCGACTAAGTTGGAAAATGTTACTGAAGGGGCTCCTGTGTTACCTGCAATAATGCCGTGAACAACACCGTGATGGTGGACAATCTTGCAGAGGCTCTTCCCTCCTTCCCTGGAAAGGCCAATCATACAAGGTGTTTCTTGCACACCATTAACCTGGTGGCGAAGTCGCTGCTCAAGGAGTTTGACATGACGAAGAAAGAGGTGACTTGGGTGCTTGATAACGATGTCAGCAGCGAGAATGACATGGAGGACCTGCATATGGACAACTATGCTGCTGAGGGTGCAGAGGATGACAGTCTGCTGGGAGACAATGATGAGGGGTGGATTGATGAAGTGGAGTTGCTGTCTGAGCATGAGCGCAAGCAGCTATGGCAACAAATATGTCCGATAAAATTAGTGTTGGTGAAGGTAAGTAAAAAAAAACATTGCGCACCTTGAAGACTAACAGCACCATCTCGCGCAGCTGCTGCAAGGTTGCATTCAAACTCATACACTCCACCACTATTCTCCTTCCTGCCTGGCATGAGGCACTCCGTTCATTGGAGGTGTCCGTCATGCTGATGCCTCGTGATGTCAGCTACGAGGTGGAACTCAACATTCGATATGTTGAATTACACTGTCAAGCATCGAAAGGCTGTCGATATCGCAACCCAACGTCGGGATTTGGGCCTGCGGGAGTTTGAGCTTAGTGATGAGGAGTGGGATATTGCAGGTCAGCTGAGAGACGTGCTTAAGGTGAGGTTATTTTTGGCACCACCTTGGCACCACATTGTTTATGACTAATTGTTCCTTTGATCTAGATTCTCAAAGACGCAACTCTATTCTTCTCACGTTTGACACCGAATCTTGCAACAGTAATTCCAGCCATGGACCTCATCCACAACGAGCTAACAAGCTACTCATGCCACCCGAAATATCTACCAGCTATTCAAGCTGCCGTCCATCTAGCAAAGAAGACTCTCAACAGGTACTATGAACTAACAGATACCTCCGAAGTCTATCGAATCGCAATGGGTGAGTTTCATTTGACTTACTTCATCAATTTTTCAAATGCTAATTATTTGTATCGTAGTCCTACATCCCCATCATAAATTATTGTACTTCAAAAATGCCGGTTGGGAAGACAACTGGGTGAATACAGCGGAAACACTTGTACGTGAAGAATACAAGTGCTCGTATGAACACATGACTGTCGAGGACTGAACAACAACTGAAATTCAGTCAAAGACAAGTTCATCCATGGTGTGTATTTTTTTCTTCCTTGATTTCCAGTACTAACATCACCACAGAGCAAGACCAATATCTTCGATCAAATGCCAGCCCTCGCACCACCAAAAACAACGGACCTCCACAGTGAACTGGACCGCTATCTGAGTGCCTGATGTTGAGGATGCTCCAGATGCTCTTGCATGGTGGTACGAACACCGTGGATTGTACCCACACCTCTCGCTGAATGGGACTGGATTATTTAACCATCCCTGGTATGTTTTTATTTTCACTCGTGCTACCTACTACTGCTACGTCACTAACCAAGTTGCAGCTACCTCAGTCGATGTCGAACGTCTCTTCAGCCGCGGCCGTCTTTTGCTCTCGCATGTTCAGTCACGCCTTTCCACAGAGTCAACACGTGCGCTGCTCTGTCTTGGATTCTGGAGCAAGCTTAACCTTGTGAAGAGTGAGGATGTCGTGAACGTGAGTATGTTGCCCGATCTGAAAGCAGAGGAAGAGGTGGGCCTGGAGGATGGGTGGGATCACATTATCATCAAGTAGCTAGTTATCTTCTGTCGTAGTTTAGTATGAATTTTGCAGGAGACCCACGGGTATACCCTTGACAGGTGGTACCCGGGGTCTCATTACTCACACCCGTCGAAAAACCCGTACCCGCAGTGAGGGTCTGGGTATATCTTGGGGTATGGGTGGGGGTATGGCCTCTGGTACCTGGGGGTTTACCCATGCAGATCCCTATGTATGCATTTATCAATGCTCACCTTCGAGGATTCTGCCGTCACCGAGTTACAAATGAATATTTCAATAATCCAAACCTAATAGGTGAGAATTTCAAGGTTGGATAGAGTTGATTGAACTAACATTGAGGTCATCGAGAACAAGGGAATGCATGCTGTGAAAGATGCGCTGCATGGGTGTCACACATTTGCTGTGATGTGTGTAACGAAATGGAATTACATTCACAGCTCTTCCCTCTGCAACAACTTGTGTCAACTCGCACAAAACCAAAGTACAAGGTCAAGCCATACAAAATGACCGACAGCAAATGCAAGCTTCAACAGGAGCTCATCAAATGGAGGGACTCAAAAATAATTGAGGAGGATCTCGATGCCGATGACTTTTTTGGACCCCAAATGATCATGTCAAACAAGATCCTGAACAGTATAGTCGACCTCGCCCACTACCATAAGATCTTGTCAACAACTTCTCTCTTCCAGCAGACATCATGGTGCTACTCCTCCAAATACAGGCAAAGCATCCTAGATATTATTCTCACTTGCATCCCTTTGCCCATTGTCAAACCTCCCGCACCACCTGCTACAATTGTTTCACCTCCACTTGGCTCATTGTCATCGGCAAACCACCAACTGAACACCAGCACCTTTGCCACAAATGGCATCGCGGTGTCATCAAAACATTCATGAAAGTGTTGTGCTTGTGGTAGCACTGATCATATAGGTACACATTGCTCACTATGCCTACAGTCTTATAGTATCCATTTTTCTTCACAGCATCCAACAAACTTTGTCCAAGATATATTGCCAAACCCCGAAAGTCAAGATCTAATGTAGAAAATATGCCGGCCATGGCAGCACCTCCAGGTTAGTCAATAAAGTCATCTCTGTCAATGTCAAAAATAGTTGTCTCTTCCTCACTAACTATTTTCTGCTCTTGCATCAGCACCATCCCTTCGTTGATCTGATCGGGAATTGACCACAGGGCCTTCCGACCATTCTTCTTTATATGTACATAGTTCTCCTTTATTCTCATTGACAACTTACAGATTGTATTCATCATATCAGGTTGTGCATGACAAATTGTTTGATGTTGAAGGTGGAATCTGTTTTTGATGATGACATGGCACTTACAGTAGACCTCGATTAGAGGTGATTCTTTAATAATGTGTTCAATTGTACCATTCAGACCTCCACCTCTGTATATGACCTGCGCATGGTCACACATTAATCTTCCAACTTGAAGCAGCCAGGAACTAACCTTGGTGTACAGATTATTCCTCTCAACAACCCAATCTACAGTGTTAAATGCTAGCGTGTGCCTGGAGGGGTTGCAAAGCAAGTTCATTTGAATGATATCACTGACATATTTTCAGATGATGCACAGTCAAGACGAGCAACTCCTACTGACCTTAGTTTGTTTGGCCAGTTAAACTAAAGGTTTACAAGAAATCTTGTCATCTGGGAAGCGTACTTGTGTTTTCCCGTAGCTTTGAACATGTAAATCCACGGTAAGAATGACACTTCCACTCTCCTGATGTCACCAGTATTCATAGCTTGACAGACATCAATGTACATCAGCTCATCCCTGTTTCAAAGTGTTTGGTTTTCAAGTCACTTGTCACGGATGGTCGGCGGTTGTGCTCGTGCTTCATCGAGGCCTGGTGTTGTTGCAACATACTTCTGCACAATGGTACGTGACATTACCACCATGTCATCCCATGTTGGCTCAGAGGCCGCAAACTTCTCCAGCATGCTCCATTCCTGATTCTCACTCTCTGCTTTGATTCGCTGTAGAGATACAACAATAGCTGGACACTACACAAAGTAAGTAACCAGCAATATAAAAAATGTTGTGGTCGTGCACAGACTAGCCTGCTATACTTGCAAGACAAGTGCATTCGACCTGAGGGGTTTGCTGTATGGAATAGATCTGTAGTTAGTGAAATGATAACCGGTCAAAAGTCCAAGCATGAGAAACAATGTCTGAAGGTATATCTATGATGTCCGATGTCAAAGTGTCGGGTCCGATGTTTTCAGGTTTCGGGTTAGCAGGTTTCGGGTTCGGGTTTAGCGGGTTAGCAGGAAGTGTGATAGCAAACATTGGGAAAGCGAGCAGTATGCAGAATAATAATCATGACAGGTGTTTTGGATAGAAAGAGCGGTAATATTCGCAATGTCAACTAAGAACTACGAAATATTGGGTTTGACCACTAAGTATTGGGAAATGGCTCCCTACTACTTGGATAATGAAAATACTTGTAGTCAGTCCAATATATATGTAAGTATGTAGAAATCCGGAATCCCATAGGTGAAAGTAGTGGCCGATGATTTTGGGTCCGAAATACATGTAAACTAACACGAGGCGCTGCGGATGATGGGAAAACATGTAATAGCGCTGGCTACGACGTGAGTAATGTGCGAAATAATCGACTATGCACCTAGTGGGGCTAGCAAGACATAACGGGACACAGATAGAACAAGTGCGCAGGATTTTGGGTCGGCCAATGTGGCTGAAATGTCAGGTCCGCTAGTCAAAGTGTCGGGTTTGCGTCAGGTTATGCGGGTTAGTGTCAGGTTACATAGGAAAGTGACAGGCATTGAACGTGTATCAAGAAATCAATGAATACATGCTCAGCACGAGCTCGAGTGCTACATCGCCAACAGTCCAGCATCGATGCCCAGATGTCATGGTGAATGACATCATGCACTCACCAAAAGCCAGGTTTACTGACCATTTTACCAGTTTCCTCTGGCCAAAGGACTGCAGTGTGTTGGGACAGGCTGTTCTCATTATCCCGGCCCTCCTTCGGCTGAATATATGTTCTCCAGATGGCATCTGCGCAAGCCATCTTATAGTGGAACAACCCAGGTAAGAAGATCACATATTGGAAGCAGCTCTTTGGTGTGTGCTCAATTTGCCAGCTGTTATGGACAGTATCCAGTCACTCCTTCGTCAAAAGGTTACCATGGATCAGTATGATGTGCTCCAACATGTCCACATCGTGCTCCACATCAAACTCACTCTCACAAGGATCGCTGATGCCTCCTTGTCTAAACAAGCTATTGAGAACTTCGATATTCCCATCTGGTGTGGATTGCTTGATATCCATTGCCTGACAAGGTATTTGAGTTGTTTTGTGCAAAGGGATTCTTTTGACTGTATCAGGCTCATTCAGCTCTTTTGTGAAGTGCTTGAATCCTTCAACCTGGTTGACAAGAATGGCACGAACGTGCCATGAAAATGCTTCCTGGCAAGGGCTCAGTTTATTGGGATGTGTTTGACGACTGTAAGCATCATTTTTGTGCAATTGAAGGAAGCTTTTCCACTCCATCATCACAGGTAGTACCGATGGTGATGGATTGTGTGAATCCCGATCCCAGAGCTGCACTGAGGATTGCAAAGCATCGGCATTATTGTTATTGATGCCATATAGAGGAATGACGGTTGCTGATGTCGCACTGACAAAAGACCCTTGGTGTTCCAGCATAGGCTGGGTGGCTTTGAATTGGATGTCGAAATTGTTGTATGCGAATCCAGCTTGTAATGTCCTGACCTCACACTTGATTTTGCTACTGATCTCTTTGGATATTGACAAGACAGCATTGTGTATTGATGTCAAGCTAATTGACGAACCTGCATGGGCAAAGACTTCAACAACTTTCTCAGGGACACACACTGACCTCATAAAGAACCCGAGCCATCCTTGTAGTAGGTTGCACTGTGCATTAGAGGTCTGAAGGCATATGCTAATCATTACAATGGTTCTCTGCAGTTTTTGTTAGCGATGCAGCCTTCAACACGCAAATATCAGCTCACAGTGATCAACAATGCAGCATTTCTTTCAGCTGCATGACATTGGCATTTTCCTGATCACTTCTCAAAGGCACCATCAGCTTCTTCATCCACATCATCTTCATACACCATTCCTCCGATGTCATCACCTCCAAATTCTCCAAGGTCCCTCTCCTCTTCGACATAAATATCCATCTCTTCATCACCCACTTTCACATTCCTGCCCATAGCTCGCCACTGCTGAAGTGTGCTGTTGAGTAGCGCGAAGAATAGATGCCACAAGTTAGGTGCCATTCTCTGCATTTTTTCCGTGAGCTGATGCATGAATGCACTCTCCAGTTGTTCGGCAGTTGCGGATGTGGCTCTAAAGTGCAGTCCATTCTTTTTGAGTGTCAAATTGGTGTAGCACTCGAGCTCGCGCTAGGCTCGTATCCAGCTATTTTCTGATATGTGTCAAACATCTGAATCACTTCCCGATGTTATCCGACACTCATCCGCTCAATCCAACGCTAACCCGCTCAATCCGATGTTTATCTGCTAAACCCAACACTAATCCGACGGACCCGACGTTTCCCGCGCATCGGACCCAATATTTTCCCGCGCATTTGTCCTCCCTATGTCTTGTCCTGTCGTATCTATCCCCACTAGGTGTGCAGTTATTCATTTTCACGTCGCTAACATTGTAGAATGTGTTATTACATGTCCACAGTACATCGTGTCTTATTACATAGGACATTGGACCCGAAAATCAGCGCTACTACTTTCGCCTATAGCACTCCGAAATTCTACATAGATACTATATATTTCGCATACCTCCTACCTATTTACTTTACCTTTCTACCTCTGAGTAGGAGGAGGTCATCCAATATTCATAGTTCTTAGTTGGATTCTGCAATATCATCCTTTCTTTATCCGAAACATCTGACAGTAACCCGCCATTTGCTATCCCCGACATTTGCTATATTCCCAACGCAAACCCAACGCTAACCCAACGCAACCCGAGGCAAACCCGCTAACCCGAAAACATCGGACCCGATGTTTTTGACATCGGACTCATAATTATACCTTCGGACTTTGTTTCCCACGCTTCAGACTATCTCCCTTTTGTTATAACTGATTATTCTAATACCATACAGCAAACCCCTTGGGTCGAACACACTTGTCTTGCAAGTAAAGCAGACTAGGCTGTGCATGACCACAACATTTTTATATTGCTGGCTACTTACTTTGTGTAGTGCCCAGCAATTGTTGTATCTCTACATTGGTCACCTCAGCACACAGCATGTTGCGCACAATTGTTATTGCCCACTGTGTTACATGTGAGTGTGAGTGTTCTTCTCTGTATAGGGCAGCACTTCGTTGTTAGTGAGTTTCTCGTGTTCTCATAACGAAGTTCTGTGCCTCCGAGAATGTGGTTGATGAAGTCTGCTGGAGTGAAATTGTTTTCTTCCATACATGCAAGCACGTTGTCCAGCTGATTTATGAGACTTGTATCCATGATGAGCACAACAGCAGTCACAGCACGAAAGCTAGGACTCTCTCTTTGTTTTATGCATTTTCTCTCATTGTTCTCTGCATTATTAATATTTAATTATTATTTCTGTCACACAACAATATTATTTGTCTTTTTATAAACAATGTGACGCCAGTTAATGTCCATTTCTTTTGGGATATGTCAGCATGTTCGGAAGTCTTTTTCAGTGGGACAAATAAAAGCAAACTTCATGCCACTAAGGTAGGCTGCATCTGGTTCCAGCACCTCATGTAAGCACCAACCCTAACCCTAAGTTGCGGCCAAATCTCTAGTGAAAATTTTTCACAACTCTGAGGACCGCCGTTTTGGAGACCAGAGGCCTTAGGTATTGCTCAAAAAGATTTTATAAATCCATATACATCATGTATCTATGCCTAGACAGATCCTAAGGTTGTTTTGAGCTCTTCAACAATGTCAGGAGGCAAAGTACGATGTCCATGGTACTTTCGATTCACCCATACAGCCTGCGCACCAGTGAGACCTTGTGAATATGCTGATATGAAATGGGCTGATCAATTGGCATAACTATAATAAAATGTCAGTGTCGAAAAGCTTGTGAGTTGAATGACTTACCGTTTGATCTGAAGAAGGGGAAAATCATCAAGACATGCAATGACATTGCACTCCATCTGCTCCATATCACAGGTCCATTGACTCGAGCGATACCGGAATTTAACTGCACCCCAGTATTGTTCTATAAAATTCAATTCACAGTGAAATTTTGGATAGAAGTCGAAGATATGACCGCAAGAAGTGATGTACTCTTCGAGCTGGGACTTGTGAGAAACAAAGTCTGGCTGGCAGAACAGAATTCGCCGGCAGCAGCAGTCTGTGTGTCCCGGCACACACTTGAATCCCGGACACTCAGCATTGCATCCAGCCTCAGGCCAGAGCCCCCACTCGCGAATGATAACCTCCATTCCTTTGAACCATCCTGGCATTGTTGGGTGCTCCAGTGGGAAGTAGAAGTCCTGCGGGAGATCTCTGAATGAGCCGCTGCGCATTTTCGGCCCATCCTTCATAGGTGTCCAGCCTGCCTTTGACCGTTTTGGCATTTTTTGTGCGGACACCGCATCAGATGCACGCTTTTGATGACTAGGCACATTATTGAACATAAATAAACCAGCGCAAAACCATTGGTTTTGCATTCAAATATATCTATTGCCCGTTCAACCTGGACAAGGAAGTCTTCAGCTGAAAAATAGCCATCTCAATTTTTGCCAGCTTTGAAGATAGTGCGAGCCTCCCTGTCAGTAGTAGGTCATAGGCTCATCAGTACTAATCAAACAGGATTTCAAAATGACATACTCCTCGTCATCCTTCAACCTTCCCAAGTCGAGTGTCACCATATCTGAAATCATCAAGGATGGCCCCTCGCCCTTCTGTTCTGGTGTTGCCTTATCACTAGAATGATTCCAGCGGTTTTTCCATTGATCGTTAGCATAGAATGTTGACTCGTTGTGGGTGACAAGAATGAGGCGGAAACAAGACCCTTGAGCAACAGGGAATCCAGATGGACTTGTGAGGACATTGCCATCATTATCGTACATTACCATGCGCTTCTCATATTCTTTCCAGCGCTGCAAAAATTCCTTGCGGTACTTCACTACATCCTCCTGCTCATGACCATCAATATACATCCCATTCTGTTTCTTCCCGTATCGCCAATCCAACTTGTGCATCCATCTTTGTGCAGTGGCCAGTGAGATTCCGGTCTTCTTTGAACCAAGCCTTCCCTGGACTTCTGGTCTTGTGATATAGTCGACAATATCTTGTGCGCATATGTAGCCATGCTTTGCAACCTCCATAAGATGAAGCTGAATGTCTTGAGCAAAATCTTCGTCCTCAAGAATGGAGTTTGAATAACGGCCATAATGATGAAGAGGGAGTTTTTTGTGATGGAGAAAATGATGAATCCAAGTGCGTATATTGCGGGCATGGCTTGATCCCTTGCCATGAGATTTTGTGACCAGTAATGAAGCCTCACACCATGAATATGACAGTTCAGGATCAAGATACAGGTTGAGGGCACCTGTCATGGCAGAAATGCAGGCCCAGAAAATCACATCAAGCTGTTTATTTTTGGCTTGGACTATCAGTTTTGCCCGCACATGTCGCAGTGCGGGAAAGTCCTGGTAACTCAGAGCATTGAGTGTAATGTCCGTGAGTGTCTCTTGATCATTATCATGGGGGCACTGTCCATTCCGGAGATCTTGTAGCATCTCCTCAATTTGTTTTGGCTGCTTGACAGTGACTGCTTTCGGTAGGAATTCCCCCTCTGACTTGCTGGGTTCACTCAAGTCTGATTCCTCTTCCTCTTCTCGCAGATTTATTGCACCATTCATAGAGTCCTGTAAGATATTGAGGTTTGTCACCCTGATTCAATTCTATTTACTCACCATTACAGACACAGACTCAACAGAAGCTGTTGCCCCCACTGACTCAGACTCGGACACAGTCTGACTGACTTGGAGGTTTGTCTTCTGTGCAACAACTTGAAGCCAGCTGCTAATAAATGATTGATGGCCCTCACTTGCAATTTTCTTCCGTTTTGCAGAAAATCGTCGATGGCTGCGTGCAGAGTTGCCAGTGTAAGTTTTTGGCTGTTTGCTTGCCTTTGCTTTTGCCCTCTCTGCTTCTGTGGCTGCCTCCTGAGCCATCGATAATACATTGATGAAGGTGAGCAATACTGCATCATCCTTGATATCAGCTTCTTCATCTTCACTCACTTCTGAGCCCTCAGATTCCATGTCATCATGATCATCAAGATTTGGAGGAGTGTAATCTGCATCCTCGGAGTCAGAAATATCTTCAACAGTTGCCTCCAGGTATTTTTCTGAGCTCTGGAGAGATTTGCGAGATGTGCCTGGACAGCTTTGGACTTGTTCCCCATTTTAATGCCAGTAGCAGAGGTTTTTGAGGTATTTCTGAGGCCCATTCATCCTCACCTCCCCCTTGGCAGCATGTCACGTGTTTGATTATATAAGCGGCCAAATACTTCAAGGAGGATTTCTCTTTTTTTTTTCTCCCTGTTCCAGCACATGTAAATGATATTTTACACTTTTGATTTTTTTGACTTATTTCTCCATGAGTTCTGATCCAAAACTTAAAATTCTTCCTGGGTCTTCAAGAGGAGCTTTATAAGACACCTTTCCAGCAATGATATTTAGTGCAGATTGGTTTCGTATGCATGTTATTTGAGGATGTTGAACAGCTCAACCTTGCTTACTTAAGGGGTGCTGGAACTGGATGAGGTTTACCTTACATCTTTTGCCAGTCGGCTGGGTGTGTCGAGTCCAAAGTTGCGGTGTTTGAAATAATGTTGTACATGTTTGGTTTGTGGCATTAAGTAATAGTATGAAGACTCTCACACACCCGCCGATGGTTTGGAGTCTGCCCGTATACATGTAAATTGCTAAGGAGATTGCCGATAGATTTTTGTTCATGCATATGTTTAGGCTCCCGGACGACGGACTCCGAGTGAACTCAAAATCACAGTAACGGGAGGCACGTGATGAATTCAGTATAAACAAACAATCCCATACGCGCGAACACATCTTCTACCCCCAATGTCACCTGCAATGTGCCCATGTACTAATACATCCTTTGCGTTAACTTTCAACCTTTCAGATATTTAGATTTCAAAATGTCTCATCTATAAGCTCCAAGTTATCAGTCGTGCTCCACATAATCGCCAGGACCTACTCACCATTAACTATACCATCCATATTATCAGACTCCAGGTTGTTCTCTGCAGCACTGACCGCTAAGATCTGTGCGAAGGCAACCGACAAGAGTAGAACATAGAAACTGAGTTTGCTGATGTTAGGCACGGTCATGTTGATGAGGTATGGTAGTTAAGATGTGTCGTCTTAAGATGAAATTGGGAGTTGCGTCCTTTAAGTACCCTTTCGCGCTCGAGCATTATTCAATTGACTTGATCGTCAAATCGGAGTACGTTGGTTTTAATCAAAAAATATATTCTTAGCTGTGGTTCGTTTCACCTCGTGAACTTATGCTTTGATGGAATTCGGCGCTCAGATTGCACGCAAAGCAGGTGACTGTACTAGTACGCATCAAGCATTGAACGGTACTAGTAGCCCACAGCAAGTTTCCTATAATGGTTACGGTGCTCCAGCTTTTAGGATTCAAATTATGCGAATATATTCCCCGGGGAGATGATAGAAGTAACACCATTTCTGCTTCCACCGCGGAAAATACCGCAAAGCGTTCTGTGCCGTTCAGTTTGTTCTGCCATCAGAAGTTTTGACGTAACGATGCTCACATAGAATCATTTAAATCATGAATCTATTCGTACGTGATCGTCGGTGGATCATGTATTCACCTGCCGGAATGTGCCGTGACGACGTGTTGATACTGCACACACCCGAGTGGGACTTATCCGCATTCGCAAGTACACGAGTAAGATGGCTGATGGCAAGTAGGATGATACAGGATTATAACCAAATGTTGAAACCTGTTAAATAAACCAAATGCTTCGTCTCTATATGCGAGGAAAATCAAGTTACACAGTGGAACGCTGGATCATGTAGACAGCTAAACGTTCAATTATGCCGTCAGCGAATTTCATAGAGTGGTAGAGCACTGACCTGGTGCAGTGTCCTTGTGAGCCTGCCACCATTCTATATCGCAGTTACCGCTTGGCTCATCCTCCGAACATGCCAACTCGAAAACAAGGACGTCGTCCGTTACACAAGAAAGTTTTCTGTGCCAGTTCAAGCTGTCTTGCCCTAGCACAATGTTATCAAGTTTCGCGACCCGTGGCGGTCGTACGTTAAACGATAACGTTGAAATATCAACTGGTACAGTGGCATTGAGGCGATATAAAGCAAGCGTAGTTGGTCGGTCCATAGGCGGAACGGCGAGGTGCAATTCGCAATTTTCCATGCCCCAGTCGATCGCCCTGAATTGAAATATTGTTGAAACCTTTCATTCCGTCAGTCTATAGAACACAAAAAAGGAAGATAAACTGACAGATTGTGTAACGTGAACTTTGCGGTCATCAGGCGAGATTGTGCCGGCACGGGTCGTGCGCATGGCAAGATAGTCATTAAAAACATGAATTAGTGCAGAATGATCCACCAAGCTGACAGACATGGGGAAACTTGTGAATTCTCTCGGAATAGGAGGCGACGTCCGTGCGATCTCGTCGAACCGCATATATTGAGAAGGACGACGGAGAAGGTGGACATTCTTTCGAGTAATAAGTTTGTCTGAAGATACCGAAGAGTCTTGGAGAAAGGCAGGGGTAGATATCAGTAACAGGTTGAGGAACGTGCAGAAGATTACGATGACAAGAGGCCAGTGGAGCACAGTTCGTGAAGTTTCATGCAACTTTGCTTTGTGGTCGTCATCACTCTCAGAGTCAATAACTTCTTGTGGTGTCAGACTCAATGGCCTGTATGACCTAGAGCGTGAGGAAAAGAACATGACGGGGAGAATGACTTGGACTTGAATTGATCATAATAGCAAGGGTGATTTGAAGAGCAGTCACTGGACGCGACCAAGTGATCCGATTAGCCGGCACTTACTGAGTTATTGTTATTACATAATTATATGCGAGATCCACCCAGCATATCGGAATGATCTTGGGCCAACTTGGCTAGCCCTGGCCAATGGCAGTGCTAATCTAACTCATCAGCAGGATTTCTGGACAGCTTTGATGACCAACAATGCATTACGTGTCGAGCGGGTATTGGCGATTATCCGAAGGAGGACTAAGTTGGACTCAAGGGTTCGGATGTCTGTCGTGGACGTGATGGACTTGCATCAGCGGGAAAATTGAAGTTATATACATCATTTCTCTTTAAGGTATGTCATTCAGATGTTTACGGCTCATTACCTCAATCGACTAGAGTCCTTCAAGCAATCTCTGATCAAAAGGTGATCAAGAGACTTGAGGTGTCGGAGATGTGTGGAAGTGGCTTGCCCATTGCTATCAGCATCTTGTGGGTCCAAAATATCGCAGGTACCGTCGCAATCGAATTATTGGCGACTAAGACTGTACTTGTTGACAATACATACCGTAGTATACCTGTATCGTAACGGCGCTCGGCGGCCTTGACACCATGCCATAGAATCATCTTCTTGCAAGATAAGCCTATTTGACGTCCAACGCCAGCTGGTGTGCACATGCTGTACTGAGTGTACGTATACCTTGTCACAAATCAGTGTAATCTCGCGCAGTATTGACTTTGGGTAGCAGCCACATACCTTCTTGCGATCGTTATGCTGACTCGGTTGCCTAGCTACAACAATATTGGTCGATGCTGCTCGAAGTCTCCCCATTGAAACTTGAACTTACAGAACAGCTATGAAGTAACACTGTAGATAAGTCACCCACGCCGTGTCAGTCATCAGTGCAATCGATGGACCATCATGGAAACAAGTTCAAACCTAGTTATTGGGAAGAGAAGGCAGCGGGAACTACTCAAATCACCGCGAAATGATGGACGATTTGATTGGTTCGCATGTTAAGACCAATTACGAAATCAACCCTCGAAGAATCATGTACAGCGCTAGCACGACTGATATGATGATCAGCCTCCCAAACACCGCCGTTTCATTTCGGGCGATGGACAAACAACCGAAATAGTCCAGCTTGAACGTTGAAACATCCTTCATGTATACATAAAGGGTTGCGTCCTGCTCGTCGTTAGCTCGCTCTCGAAACAAGCTCCATACGAACAACTTCTAATGGCTGAAGTTACAGGCAAGGTAGATTTCAAAGTCGGAGATGACACGTACCAGACTTGGTACAAAATCGTCGGCGATCTCACTTCGGGTGCCCACCCTCTCATCGTGCTGCACGGCGGCCCCGGCGTCTCGCATGAGTATATGACACCTCTCGTCGAAATTCACAACAAATGTAACATCCCTGTCGTCTTTTACGACCAGATCGGTATCGGAAAGTCCTTTTTTGAAGGTGTGGCGGACAAACCCAAAGAGTTTTGGACCGTTGATCTCTTCATGGATGAGCTGGACAACCTTGTTGCCCACCTTGGTGTCCAGAATGGCTTCGCTCTTCTGGGTCACTCCTGGGGAGCGATGCTAGGGGCGCACTACGCCAGCTACAGACATCCTGTGGGTCTCGAACACCTCGTCCTCACCAGCGGAACGCCGTCCATGGCACTGTGGGAACAGAGCACCCGCCAGCTGCTGAAAGCGCTGCCAGCGGATGTGAGGGAGGCGATTGAGAGGCACGAAAAAGAGGGGACAACGGATAGTCCTGAATATGAACAAATGGTAGGGATCTTCTTCGAAAAGCACGTTTGCAAGAGCCCCTGGCCAAAGGTGATGGAGGCGTCCTTTGCGGCCATGATGCAACATCCCACCGTGTATCACACGATGTAGGTGATATCTTGACGAACCTTTCTGATATGTACTGATCATGGATTCCAGGAATGGACCGTCAGAGTTCACGATTACGGGAACGCTGAAGTCATGGTCGTGTCTGGATCAGATTCACACAATCACGACTCCTACTCTGCTCACCAACGGTGTGATGGACGAAGCGCAGGACGTCTGCGTGAGTCCTTTCTTCCAGAGAATCCCGCATGTGAAGTGGGCGCAGTTTTCGCAACGTCACATGCCATTCTTGGAGGAGGAGGACCAGGCGAGATACTTTCAAGTGGTGGCTGATTTTTTGACATATGCTTGAATAGTAAATCCTGTAAAATATAAGACTGAATGCATGAGAATGGAATGTCCAGTGATTTGCACCTTCCACGGGCTCAGGAAAGAATCTCAAGGCGTTATCCTGCCTTAGGTGCACCTGTCAAGCGCGCAACAGTCTAAATCGGGTAAGGTAACATCTTAGTAGTTAAGCAATTTTTGTGATCTGCTCTGTTGCCACTTCTCATTCGTTCTTTCGTTCCAGCACTATATAACGACCACCTGTACTTTTCATGAATTGGTTTGTGTTCATAATATTCATCTAGTTACAAATATGACAAGAAAAACTACTCGAAATAGGACCGCTACACCGCTTGGCGCTCTACCTGTCGCCTGATCCTGACGGCGACTTAGCGATAGCCGCAGTCTTCACTGTTGGAACGAGAATATTGGTTTTGCAGTGACCGACGATGGAACTCCTACCCACACTTCCGATCTATACGGGGATGATGTTCGCTGTCTTCCTGTTACCTACTGCTCGGCGTCGTACCTTGCTCATGCTATTTTCACAGGAACTAGTAGAACCTCTTGGTGACGGCAATCGTGCGCTGCCTGTATTCATCATAGCTGGGAAAGTAAGTGGTGGTGTCTATTCATTAGAATAAGATCATGGGTTCGACATCGACATTTCTCAATATCTTTTCGCTCTCAGGCTCAACAGGCATTCGCTACCATTATTTGCAAATTTATCCTCACCTATTCAGAATACCTGCCACCTCCTTCCAAGCATGTCGTTGTTTTATTACTGCATTGTCCTGTGTCAAAAAACAGAGGTACGCTGTGCATATTTTTAGGAGTAAACGAAGAGAAAGATAATGTACAAAAGTCTGCTTTTGTAATAAAGCAACGACTGAAGTCACCGCTTGTCACTAGATAAACTACAAATACCGTACACGTACTGTACGTCCAGCATAGGGTCGCGCCACACCGAACAACAGAAAACAAATCATTGATTAGAGGATCATCGGGAAAGCTGAAAACTGAACTATGCAAATGCGGAAAGCGGACGTTAGACGTGGCTCTATGAGAACTCGGTAGTGCCAAGCTCGCGTCCAAATTTCATATGATCCGTCTATGAAATTTGGACGCGAGCTTGACACTACCGAGTTCTCATAGAGCCACGTCTAGAGATATCGTGTTGCCA